CGGTTCGTATACGCAGGCGAATTATTTAGAGGCACAAGCTCGTTGATTGTAAATCATGCAGGAGTGGAGTTCCTCTCACACGCGAGGATAATGTATTTTTTCAGTCCTTCTTTTTTCTTCTCCTCCAGGGCTTTTTTCCGTCCCACTGTCCCTCGTGGAGGAGGATAAGGGCGTTCCAATGGGCGCAGGCACTCCACAATTTTTGGGTTAATTGAATCCATTTCATTTAGTCACGTCACTGTGGCTAAATTTTTTAGCAATCATTTCATTGTTCTCGATTTAATCCACCATTTTTACTTCCTTTTATTGCTGGTTATATTTTTCGCGTGGGTGTACACGTGTTTTCACCCGCCAACAGTGGAAATTGATTTCTCGTTCTTTTCATTTCCCATTTTATATCAATTACGTTTGTAATTAGATTTTTTTTCAGTCATGAGAGATTTTTCATTTTTATTCAATTTTTGGGTGGCTCATGATTTTCATGATTATTTAATTACTCCCAAATTTTCAGTCATGCCTCTATATTTTTATAAATTTCTACTAAAGTCTTCTGAATTTTCGCAAAAATGTATTGGGAACCTAGGAAAATTTTTCCACCTCCAGGTCAACTTTATTAACCGCTCCTCAGAAATGTGCAAAAAATTGAAAAATGAGAATATACGAAAAATAACTCCCTAACAGGAGAAAAATCGAGAAGGTCAAGGTAAATACTGAGTATGAAGGAAAACAATTGAATTTCACGTTCAATGGTGAATTACGGAGTGATGAATGGAGTAGAGAATAAACGGAAAAATTCTCAACCGAGGGAGTAAAAACTTGGGCGGAGGACTCACTTTCCCTCGGGTTTTTGTTTCTCTCGCTTCTTTTTTTCGCGGGTATTTTTTCGGAGGAAGATAGAAAAAAGAAGAAGCGGATGGAAGGGTGAGGATTTTCTCAGATGGAAAATCTCGTTTCATTCGAGCGAGTCCTCTTTAACCAACCCACGACAATCGTTTCTACTTTCGTTATACGTTTATTGCTGAGGCACTCTTGCACTCATTGCTGTCTCATTCTCATTTTTATTATGGCACTGAAACGAATGGACACTTGGACAATTTTTATCTCCACCGAGTTTAGTAGTCGTCAAATCGCTATCAGAATTATTTCATTATGACTAGCCTCTCGTATTCTCGGTTATTGTTTGGGGATATTATTTTTATCGTTGATCTTTCAGAGGGTGTTGCATAATTCTGTTTATCCTCTATTATAGAAATAAATCCAATTGTTTGCATTCTATTCAAATAATCTCCATAACAGTGGATTTACGGTGTATTGTTCGAGCGACAAGTTTTGAAAGAAAAATCATAATAAAGTGGAATGGAATGGGGGAAATGAAGTTCTCGGTGTTGAGTGAGCGTCAGAAATGGGTCATTATGAATTTTTCCATTTTCTTGGACAATGGAGTTTTTTTTATTGATCATAACTTTTGTAGGGAGGTAATTACATTGTTCTAGAGAGACCAATTAGCCTCAGTCAAGTGAGCTATCGATGGGAATACGAAATTTAATGATGACCTCATTGAACTTCAGATGCTGCAAAACTCCTCATACTCTCATTCACTCTTAAATATTTCCACTGAAATTTCAATTGCACTTCCCAATGGTGTTGAACACAATTTGATAATTTTGCCCTCAAGTCAACGCCAAGTTTTTTTTTTGAAATTTAAAATTAAGAAACAATTACTGAATTGACTAGAAAAACAGGCGAAAAAGAATTAGAATGAATTTAAAAAAAGGAGAAATCAGGTTCAATGACACGTTTTCCATGAAACATCAATTCTCCCCTCCCATACTTCTTTTAATTTGCTCAGCATCAGGTTGAAATGACAAAAAATTGCTGACGGGTGTTACATGCAGTGAGTAAATGAGTGAAAACATACGCCCACGGAAATATTGAACCCGGTATTAATACCCCAACTGGACTCAATGAACCGAGGGTATTTATCCGAGAATAGCTTTACGATTGGGCATTGAAGCGTAACGCATACTGAATAGAAATCATTACGAAAAACATGTCGAACGTTCTTCCAGAATTTCCGTGACAATTGACAGGATTCACTCAATGCACAGATAAACTTGGAAAACACTGGTCTCATTAAACTTATCAGATGCGATTCAAAATACAGGCAAAAGCGATAATTGCACTGGCCTCCTCGAACGGAACTAACTTATCAAACTTTACTCTTATGTTTCCGCTTTCGAGACTGTTCCATCAGCCGAGGGTTAAATTTTCATTAATTAGTCGAGGATCCATCGGGTTCCATCGAGAATAAATAGACATGCCCCTCTTTGATATTGGAGAACCAACGAACACCCAGAGAGTAAACAGAATGGAAAATTTTCTCGAGCTCAACCTGGGAAGGGTCATTCTTCAAACTAGTACTTGAGCACATGCAAATAAAATCTATATTGTCGCGAAATTCAGTCCACCGAGAGATAATTTTTGTGAATTACGCAACACTCCGACGTCGAGCGAAATGCCTTTTTCAGAATATTATTCGGAGCCGGTGATAAATGCGAGTGAAAGATATTCTTTTCCCTTCATTCTGGGGTCTTTATCTGGCTGTGACGTCAATTCGAAAAACTTTTCAATGCCCAAGGACTTTTCTAATGAAGTCTCATCGCATCAGAATATTTCTACCAACTCTAATAAATAAATTAAAACAAATACAAATACAAATACCGTTAAACTTACAAAAAATTAACTTTATTTTCCGACTGATGACCTTACATTGAGACCTTTGAAACTCTAAAACTCAGACCGTCAAACGTTTCACTTAAGACTTACATAACTCCTAATTAAAGACTTCTAAAACTCAAAGCAAGACTTTCCGAATGGATCTGCATTCATAAAAGAAGAGTTAAAGTGATATAATTGAATGACGACGATTTTCAAAACCCAAATCTATTTGAAAAGCTATTGATTTCACTGGTAACTTTTTATTGCCCTCGCAAAAACTAGAAAGAATTGTCCGAATGAACCGCATGGATAGATCAGCTTTAATACCTTTACCTTTGCAATCTCAAAATAAGTTTTGCTTTTTGTGTGAGCATCACACTGAAAATAATTGCAATCTTCACGGAGAGCAAGCCCCAGTGGGGTTTTTAAAACCTTTTAAAGCTTTTGAAACGGAGAAAATGCTCTTCAAACGAGCCTTACCACCTCTCAGTGTGCATAAATAAATACATTGACCATCATCAAAGAAAATAGAAGGGAGAAATGCCGGTATTAACCGACCACCATGCCCACAACAAAATACCCTTGGTGAATTCGATAACACCACTACAATCCACGTGTCACCACAGCAATATATATGGACTCCCTTCCCTCCTGTTTATCCTGAATCCACACCCAAGGTCCTGGATAAACCGAGGTCTCCACTGTGCCCACTTCAAGTGGGTGTCTCCAGCCTCATCCGAGAAATCCATCCAGCAGAATGTAACCCTCGGTATTTCATCATGACAACTCATCTGCCTCCAGAATTTTCTGCATTCACCAGAAAGCATCCTCAATGTCCCCATTATCCCCAGGAGTGTCTCCCTCGAGTTCTCTTTTAAAACTGACAGCATCACAACCTCAATGATATTCATCGTGAAATCTCAATTCTCACCCTATTCTCCTGTCTGCCTATAAAATGACACAATCGATCACTGCTAAATTGAAGAGCCATTGGGATTTAAAAATAACAATACAGACGATTCATTATGAAGTGCCACCAGTCTATTCTGAGGTGGTAGCAACCTACGTCAAGACGAATAAATCCCAACGTAGTGTCGTCGGGTTGAAATAGCACCATCACATGCATCATGATTAAAAGTACATAATCAGGAGTGATGTAGTGTGATTGATTCACTCAGTCGTTACATTTGCACAATATACTGGGTAACTTTGAATTACCAAAAATTACGTGACAGCTCGCGTAATCGGGAGGGATTTTACCCGGGAGGGGAATTCGTTTGAAAAATTATCATGACAGATGCTCAAATTTCCTGGTAACTCCCACATGATTACGGTCTGTCAGAATATTTTTTTTTATTCTCACCATTTTTACGCGCATTGATGACAAATTAAATAGAAGGACAAGATAATTTTTTTTCTTTTGATTTCATAAGTTTTACTGGGATGGAATTTTTTCTGGTACCAGTACTTTGAGAAACAAATATTCCGTGTTACTCTCGGAAAATTCACTCCCATCTCGATAGATTTTTACGTCAGTCGTTCCGTAATTTTTGGATTAACCTTGGCCTCGTGTAAACATAAGAGGAATTTTTTTAAAAAGAACTGATGTCGCTTTTCGCTTTCAATCGTCATTCCGAAAGAACATATTCATTTTTTCTATTCGATATTCGTTTTGAGATTCGTCTATCAGCACTTCGAACTTGTCGATGAGCCGTTTGCGTCACGGAATCGTGACGACTGTATCTCGTAGGCAAGAATAAACAGAAGCACCCGGAGTAGAAACACCTTGTGAGTTCTCAACGTAAAATTTTAACAAAACTTCCCGCTGCAATTGCAAATCCAGAGTTGAATTTCCACGTCGATCAACATTTAACATTTCAATGATATCTTCAACCTCCACATCTCCAACTTCATTCAGCTAATTAAGGGGTTAATTAAAAATCCCCACTATATGAAACCGTTGAATGAAAGGCCAACTGCCGCTGGAAATTTGAAAATTTCTTTTCGAAATAATCTTTGAAAATCGTATCGACAGAATAAAATCGATACTAATTGAAAATCAATAATTTGGGCATGACGAAACCGCGGTGACTCGACGATGACTCCTGGGTCATCCATTGCCGGCCGCAACTTGAACATGTCGGTGATATCTCTGCATGTATAACAAAACCCCAATGTACATAGGTGTATAACACGGGTATTATCTACCTTGTGGTTGCGCGCATGCCTGACCGAGAACACACAGGGACGCTGAGGAGTAACCCACGACCCCGAGCGTTTCGGCTTTGGGAGTCTTCGGCGTGTTGTGCCACGACGAGGAGCCCTCACCCGGTTCATCACCAGCCACCAGAAGAATCATCGTTCAACAACTGCGTAACAATAGCCCGAGGAGATTAGTCTCAATCATCATCATCCCACTAGTTCCAACCACCCAAACGACCACATAAAAAATTCCATCGGAATTGCACGAGCTTGGAGGTGCGCCAGGTGGTGTTGACCAACTGGTTCACCAATTCCCTGGTTAAGAATTTTTCAGGGAATTGTGATATGGAGATAATCTGATGTGGGAAGGTGATTCACATGGCACGAGGAAGCACATGGCTGGTTGTGGCTATTATTTTTCCAAGCTCAAGCCGTGAAAATTGGAATACTGAATGGTGATGTTGGGTGGGTGGGAGCTCAAGTGGCTGAAAGGTAGTGGGGATGTTCTTGCCATTTGAAGGGTATATCGCAGTGTGTGCTGTGTGTGAAGAGTGACTGAAATAAGAGGGGGTGGGTTTGGGGTGGCTAGGGTGTGTGTTGGGGGGTAAAATTAAGTTACGGGGCTGGATAGGTGGATCGATGGTGGTGCTGGCTGCTGGTTATCGTACACTCTCGTACTCGTGGCTTGTCCAATGTGGTACAAATCAACGGGATCATCGTGTCCATCAGTCCATGAGTGACGAGTGGTCCCGGTAGATTCGCCTGCTACGAGGATATTTCATTTTGCATCGTAATCATTTCATGAATATGTCATTTACAAGCTCCGAGTGTCACGCGAATTGGTGATACGTAACGAACATTGTGGGATAAAGGGTGGGTAAAACAATTGATGATGTACCATGATTGATGGGATGATTTATTTGTTGTGATGGGGAAGAAGTTTTTGATGTTTCTTGGTGAATGCCAGACATACGTGGGCGTTCGTTGAACTTTCACACCACCTCGTGATACGATCGTTCACATCTCGAGATTGAGGGGAGTCAACCTGAATGAGTCAATGGGAGATTCTCTGACAAACTTCTTGAGACGATTTATCAGGGGATCAATGGAAAAAAACTCGGAGAGCTCTCATGAAATTCTATTCGTTGGATTCGGTGACATTCGACGGAATCAACTGATCAAGTATTCATGAAATTTCCTGTCTTGTGTGAGAGGGATTCGGTGGAATGGGGGGGTGTCTTTGATGCTGAGTAATCGAACAATTTTCTTGAGGTATTGGGTTTACATGGGCTGAGAGAGACGAGGGAGGTTCTGTGCATCGGCTAATTTGTTAATTGCTGTGCCAATTACATCGGTCTGTCGATTATAACTGAGTGGAGTACAGTAATTACGCTGATCAATTAGAGGTAGGGGGGCAAAGGATCGAAGAGGGGAGCTGCATTTGCATTGCGATCAGTCACTTCAAGGGCATAATAGAGAGAGGAATGAAAAAAAGTCCTGGAACAATCGGATGGAGTGTGGAGTGAGGGAATATTCCATTAGACAAATAATAACTGGCCTGAATGAGCTAGGATGGGCAGGAAATTAGCAGTATCGCTGATCAGCAGTATTGTTGCCGATGTAGGGGATACGTTAGCCAAAAATTTCTGGACTAACTTGATGAATGGCGATTCAGGTGTTATCGAGTTGACTGGTGTCAGTCTCATGTCCTCGCTGCTTCACTGGCTACCAATAAGCCAATCTCATAGTCAATCTGATAGTGTTGATAAAGCGGGGGCTATAGATACTGGAATATTGGATAATGCAGAGACTGCGTTCGACCTTCAAGAGGTCGCGCACACCGACCGGGGCGGAAATGAAGTCACAATCGAGTTTGGAAGTGCCCAAGCAAGTGAGATCAGCGTCATTCGATGAGATACAGCTGGAGGCTAAAAGACACGACGACCACGCCAAGTATCGTGATCTATTGACAAGAATAAACACGGCGTCTTCTTCATCGTCATCGTCACCAGCAAGGTCGTCAGACCAGCGTCTGGCGACCCTGCGGGTGCCGCAATTGCAAAATGCCCAGAGATCAAAATCCGTTGATGTTTATGAGAGGGGATCACTGCTGTCATCATCACCAGCTAGATCATCTGGCTCCTCGGGATCACGAAAGAGTGATACACCCTTGATACAGCTTTCCGGGTGTTACCACTGTGCCTGCGTTGAAGAGTGGAAGGCGCAATTTTTCAGGAAAGATGACAATGACTCTGAGCCTGATGACGAGGACGAGGACGAGGATCTCGATGAGATCAGTATTGAAGTTGTTGATACTGATAATGATGAGGAGACGAGGAGGGAGGGTAGCCCGGAGATTCGGGTGACTCTGACGAATTATGAGAGGACGGCTGATTGTCATTCACATCGACAACTCACTGATCCCAGGCCAGATGTTATACCTGGTGAGAGACCCAGAAGATTATCACGACAGGAGGCTGTTATATCGTTTCCTATTGAACCACCATCAATTCTTGGTCCAGATGATGAAGACGACGAGTCCAGGGGCGACGACGACGATGAGGACGATGTTAACAAGTGCAAACTCGTGGTCAGGGATATTTTTCTTACTGTACCCGAGTTGAAGAGAGATCGTGCTGCGTCTGTTGATTCGTGTTTCAATAATAAAAATGGTAATGGGGATGGGGGTGACTGTCTTACTGTGCCCCAGCAGAACACTAGGTCCAAGAGTGTTGACATTGTTTTGCCTACTGATCAGCAGACGAGGTACACTGCTTTACTACCCAGCAAGGATCACAGAGCCAGAGGGTGGGTACGTCGGGTGTCTCAATGGAGTGTCTTTCTTGTGTTATTGCTGTAGCTGTTCCACTGTATTATTTAAACATATCGAACTTGTGGCTATCGCGCTTGTGGAAAAATCCTATGGAGATGATCCCATTCGGCACTCCCTTTAACGGATTATTCATGAGATAACCATTTGGAAATGAATTAAGATGTTCACAGGGATTTTTAAGCTATATGGAACGATTTTATCGCGGCTTCGTGTAGTTTGTTGGGGTACGTGCATGAAAAAAATATCCTGGGCGTTCGTTAAATTGCTCCCGATAGAGACTACAAATTCCTACGGACATTCTTTCGTTGTTTATCGAGCAATTTCTGGTTGGAATGGAAATTCCTACGCGAAGTCATAGACGACAGGATTTCTCCGCGCATCTCCTTCGGAGGGTGGAAATCCTTTTCAATATTCTTTCGTTTTCTTACCGCACATTTCTTCTCAAAATTTCCACAATTTTTTCAATTGATTAAAAAATGGTATATGACTTAAAAAAATTATATAATACCGCATTAATTATTGATTTCGTTCAATCATAGTAAGAAATTGGCCACAGGATTTTTCCACTGCCCCATTGGTCTCCTCATCCCGCTTGCTAATAAAAAAAGGCAATTCCTTTGATAAAAAAAAAAAGAGAATGCCGATGCTATCGGAGAAGTTGGCACGCAATTATTTTCACTCGGATGGGGAAATAACTTGCCGTTTTGTACACTAGTTTCACTGAGTGCCTTGAGGAAGAGGAAGAAATAATAGAGATCGCCCCTTCCGGTATTTTTCAATGACATCATCAAGCGTTCACGCCCTTTAGCACAACACCCTCGATATTTTCTCGAAGCGTGCACCCTCCATTTGCCCATACGTTGCCATGGTCCCTTCAGTATTCATTCAACGTAATATAATCTGAAACACCTTGGAGAATACATCTGGGTGTGGATGATTTTGGGGTACCCTAAGTAGCTCGTCGAGACCCAACGATAAAACGAATGAGATTGGGACCAGTCAGTTCTCATTTGATTTCTTTATCCCCGAATCATTGGCTCTCCAATCACTCCAACGTCACTCTCTCGACATATCTCTTTCCATTTCTCATGTCCCAGGCTGTCTGTATTATACTTCCGCTTACCCTCCTTTATCTCTTTTTATTATCCACCTCAATTGGACAGGGAAAGCTCCAACTCCACTAGTCATTATTCTCATTTGACGTGAAAAAACAACAAAAAAAAATCCATGAGAGAATTCTTTTAATTAATTCCAGAAATCACCGACGCGTTTTGTTTTCGTGGAGTGATTTTAGTCGGCTTTTTTTTTATGTCTTGGTTGCTGAATGCATCTCTGCTCTGACACAATGTTCCACCGAATTGTAGACAGCTCTTGCACTTGTGCTTCAATAGCTCTCACTGTACCGCAGGCTAATTAGTCGTCTCGTTGGGAATTGGGAATGCTGAATGACATTAGGTGTACTCGTTACGCTGGTTAATTTGGAGAATTTTTCAGATTTGACCGACACTGTTACAACAGTGCAGAATTGACAACCAGCAGAATTCAGCAGTTGTTTCAGGGCTTCTTTAATGCAGTCTCAAGGCGAATTGATTTATTCATTTATTAGGATAAAATAATGATAGAGGGATTGGAGTTATCGGGGAATCGTCAGCATGAAAATGATGAGTTCGAATCTCTCTTGTGGAATTTTTTATTTCATCTTTTTTTTTCCAAATATGACACGGCATGGTCTTGTTCCATTTTTAAATTACTACTTTCAATTCTATCGATCTACTTCTTCTATAAATTTCATGTGTTCATTCTCTATGCTACGTTTCAGTGTGATTAATTGTAAGTGAAAATTTTTGTGACTCGTGAGGTGAAGAGTGAGTGAAGACATGGGTTCTGGCAGTTTTGTTCAAAAAAGCAATTCGTCCAAATATTTTTTTTTCAAAGATAATCATTGATTTCTTCTCTGGAAGAATATGTTTTTTTTTCCGGTGGGTTATATCAATTTTCATTCGGGGATTTTAGACTGAAGTTTTCAGCAAGAGCGTTGGAACTTTGCAATTATAATTCTTGAAAAATTTATGAGAGAAATGAAGGAGATGCAGGTCTTGGGGGATTTTAAGATATTTTCTTTCCTCTTGGAATGAATTAAATGTCTTTTCACGAAGAAACCTGGGATAAATAGTGAATAGTATTGGACGAGTCGCTTTGTGAGCCAAAGTACTAGCCCCAGACGAATCAATCACGAAGGTCAGACACTATTCAAGATAATCCGAGACATCCAGTGATCTCCACTCAAGAATAGTGATCAAGTTATCCGAGCAGTTGAAGTAAAACTTTATGCAACGTATTTTTATCTATTCATTTTTATCCTCTTTTTGTTTAAAACTCGCGAGGGGGTGGAGCCGTGAACTCTCGGCTCTTGTGGGTGAAATTAAATTGAAGAAGTTTGTGGGAAAGGGATGGGAGAGGACTACGTTAGAGTGAAAAGAACGCGGAAGAAAATGAAAAAATAAAAAATGACAAAAGGAATGAAAAATTGTTGGGGTCCATGTGGCTTTGTGATTTTTTTTTTCAGTAAACTCGCTTGAGGGGTAACTGAAATTTTTTCTCTAAACGAGTTCAACAAGGGGATGTGTGCACGTGGGGAGATATTTTATTCGATCAACTTCTCGAGTCTCCCTTCTAGTCGCATTAATTTTCCAACCCCAGGAGTCGGTAGTGGAATATTTTTCTTGACTTTAACCGGAGTTTTAGTGACTGATAAGTAAATTAATGGGGGGGGATTCGCTGGGGTTATCTTGGTTATTTAATATTGTCATTTGTTTTCTCTCATTTATCAACAGGGGCAGGGAAGAAGCCGCCAGTGGCAGCAGAGAGCCGAGATCAACCCCAGATTGGGGCCCAAATGCTGTCAATGGTGAGCACCTCTGGGTACCCACAGCAGCTTCTGGGGATTTCTGTTACGCCAATGATTGTTCGGTAAGTCATAAAAATCGAGATAAAGTATATCCCTGGAATATCCTCTCACCTGGTGAGCAGAAGCTCTTCGGGATAGCGCGAAATGACGGCCCATTCATCTCCTAAACTTTGTGAGGTACATAAAATAGGTAGTTCCATCTTGGAGAAAACTTTTATTCTCCTCTATTCCAGCCACATTTTGTGGGGAAGGGAATGGCAGTAGAGGCGCGAGGTTGCTATTCAATGGGAATTCTCGGTTTTATGGTGATGGCATTTTTATTTTATTTTCAAACACCTGGGGGAAAGAGCAAGTGGGTAATTACAGTGGTACCCCTTCACTATTCATAGGGACGAGAAAAACACGTGCAAATGCACAGAAAAAAATTCATCTGGGAGAAATTATGTTTTGAATTATGCTTTGTGAACTTGGAATGTTTAATTCAGGGCAATTTTTCATGCACTGCTGTACAGAATAGTCAAGAGCTCCAATAAAATTCATTACAAAGACTTGAAAATTTTTGTTTGAGAAAAAGTTTTGAATAAAAATAATCACAATCACGTACACGCATATAAAAATATTTGAAAAATTTATATAATAATTTTACAAGCATAAAATCTCCCACAAAATTTTTTTCCAGTTCGATGGGTTCATGGAAATTAGCATAAATAAAAAATCCGCTGGAAGTATCAATGTGATTATTATTCATATGGAACGTATCAATTTTAGTCCAATTACTCCCTAAAAATTGATGATAATGAAAAAAAAAATCAGAGTACCGTATTCTAGACTCAATTAATTAAACCGAGTGTAATTTGATCCCGAATATTCATGATTTCATAAAAAAAAATTCAAATAACCCGAGTAATTCTCATCCTGTGTTATTTAAAAATGCAAAATGTCTTGATTTATCCGGGGAAATAAAATGCGCTGATGTCACCCCAAAAAATGAATATGCAATTTCGATGTCATCTAACGACACATGCATTGAGTGAAAGAAAAATATGCGAGTGAATACTGAAAAATAAAGAACTCCACACTTGTCGGTGAGCTGCTTGAAAATACCGAATTATTCATTGCCGAATGAACTTTCTTGACTCCTCGAAGAGAGAAAATAAAAAGCCTCAGCCGAGGATAGAAGAGGGTAGTTTGAGGGTAGCTTTTCTACAGAAGCAAACACTCTACGCCCTTTTATTTTCTCGCTTCGTATGCATCTGAATACTCTGCAATTCATAAATCCCCAGGTCGTTAGTGCTTTTATGTTGGGGTCGCGTCAATAACTCGGCTGTTTTAAATGGTGCATTAACGTAACATCGATATTCCCCACGACACGGAATAACAAGGAAGGAAAAAAATAAAATAAAAAAAATCAGCAAACTGTTGTACCCCCTTGTAATTGGAAAGTGTAAAGGAAATCATTGTTTTATTTGCCTCTGTAACGTCATTTCCCATCCACTCGGCTGTTTATAAACTCGCATTATCCGGAGGATCTTTTGTTCATTCTGTTGAGTAAACGCTTTCTCTACCCTATGCCCCTATATCACCCCTCTTCCCCACTTTCCTTTCATTTCCAGGGTTTCAGATTGACACGCGAGACTCGTAATAGTCCCTCTCTTCGGGGAGGACAGGGGCTCAATCTTATTAAAACTCCCACTTGCATAAAATTACCTCCACGGAATGATTATAATTCTCTAAAGGCTTGGGGAGAGCATGAAATGCAGGAAATATTCACTTCTCCGTTGCTAAAATACCTGCCATATCGCTTTACTCATTGGCACATTTGTCGGGGAGATATTCTCCCTGAGAATTTCTTTATTTCAATGCGCATGGAATTTTTAATGCTTTTTTTCATTATTACCAGTCTGAATTATTTCAGTTGATACGAAATAACTCGAATGGAAAAAATTTCAAATTTTCGCGGAATATATTTTGGAATGTGAATAATTGAGGGGTCTTATCTCGACGTGGAGGATCGAATCCTCGAAATGTCTAATACATTTTTTATTAAAATTTTCAATAATACTTTAAATAATATGTCAAAATTCATGAACATGTGATTAAATATCAAATTTTGCATTACAACGAAACGAGAAATTCCCACATTAATTTATTTGAAATAAAAAATATCCTCGCGTCGATTATACAATATTTGAGAATCCCAATGTCGGTACATTAATAATAAATTATAATATCAGTATTAACATTTCATAAGCACTGTTCAAATAGTGAGATATTGAACGAAAAAGATCCACATACGCATTAATAAATAAATAACATGATAATAATATCGGAATAATTCATGTACAAAGTAATTGTACTGAAATTTCCGATCTCTATCAATTCTTCATAAACCATAAATACCCAATCGCAAAATCCGATCCGAATTAACCCCGAGTATTAGACTATCTCATTCATTCCCTCATTCCATTGAAAACTCATATATTTTGACCTATTTCCATAAATTTTCATCCGAGCTCATTATCTTTGTATTTCAACTTCAAATAAACCGTGGAGGATTTTTTTTCTCATAAAAAAAATAGGTCTGTCCAGTCCTAGTGACATTTATGTGGACAGAAATAATGTACGAGTGTTTATGCGTTAAAATATGGGAGGCACGTGGAGCGACTTTAAATAACAAATTTATGGCAATAATTAAAACTACTGGGTTTTCTCCGTTTTCCCTACTTCCGGGGTTGATTTTTTTTTATCATGAAAACAGAATTTATCAGACGTTGGTTTCTTGGGAAGAGAAAATGTTAGCATTGTGGGATAGTTTATGGGCTTACTGAAAATTTCATGCCCCAAGCTGCTTTTAATTGCAACGCGGGGGTGTATTTAAATATTGTCGAGCATTCGCTTGGATCGACAAGAAATCCAAACAAGAATCGCATATTCAGCTTTGCGATACGTTTGTGGATTTGTTTCCTCTGCCAAATCATGAGATAATATTATGGTACAGGGTGAATGGTCCAGCGTTCGCGGAACACTTGACGCACTTGTTCTGGAATATTTGTTACTTTTTCTGTTTGGAAATGATATCGCGTTCATATCTGCAATGAGATCGTGTGCAATACAACAACAGTTCGGTTTATTGTAATTTTCTTGCGGGAACTTCCTGCTATTTCTGTAAGAATTTTATTCCTCTATGCAAGAGTCAATATTCTCCGCATTCGTCGAATTCGTGAATCAATTCTTCAATACAAGTACCTTTCACAGTTCAGAAAATTTTATAATGAAATTGTTCTCGAGGAATTTCAAACAACTCCTCAATATTCTGCGTCGATTACATTTTCGCGAAATATTGTTCTTTGTACACGTATGATTTTTAGATATTAAACATCTCGTATTTCCCCTAAAATTTTATTTGAACCACGTAAAAATTCAGAGAAACTAGACGCATGGCTGAAAATTCATGAGTTATTGAATAATTATAAAACCCACAAACGGTTATTCCCATTAATCGAAATTTCCAAAAAAATATAAAAAGGCGAGAATATCAGTAATAACTGTTTAAAGAAAGTACAAAGTAAAAAAAAATGGTGAGAGAAAATGAATAGAGCGGATGGAAACATAAGATATGTATTGAGTGGAATTGAACAAGAGCGCAAAAAAAAGTACACGGAGATATGGTAATTTAAAAAACATATTGATTTTGGTATGTCCACAGAAACATGGACCCAGGCTGAAGTGCGCAGCGTGTCGGGTGGTGGCACACGCCCTGTGTGCAGGAAATTTGAATTTCGATTGCAAACCAAGTTTTCGTGATGTAGGTGTTCGTCAATACCGCGAACAAGCATCGACCCATCATCACTGGGTGCACAGACGCTCGCAGAAGGGCAAATGTGCCAATTGCTCAAAAGCATTTCAATCTAAATTGAGCTTCAGCTCTAAGGAAATAGTTGCAGTGAGTTGTAGCTGGTGCAAACAGGCTTATCACAACAAGGAGGCGTGCTACAACATGGATAGAGTCGGTGAGAACTGTCAATTGGGTACACATGGTAGTATAATGGTGCCACCCTCTTGGATTGTCAAGCTGCCGCGCAAGGGAAGTTTCAAAAGTAGTTTGCGTAAATCACCGAGAAAAAAGAAGGGCGGAGCTGGTGGTGGTACGGGTGCATCAGCAAGGAGAAAGAGCAAGTGCGGTGACAAGGATAAAGACGATAAGGATCAGGGAAAGTTGTGGGCGATAAAGCCCATTCCATCACCAAATATTCGGCCAGTTGTTGTCTTCATAAATCCAAAGTCCGGGGGCAATCAAGGGGCTAAATTGCTCCAGAAGTTTCAGTGGCTGTTGAATCCACGACAGGTGTTTGATCTCACGCAGGGTGGACCCAAGATGGGTCTTGAGCTATTTATGAAAGTACCCAATGTTCGGGTACTTGCTTGTGGTGGCGATGGAACTGTTGGATGGGTTCTCTCGATTCTTGATCAAATTGGAGCGTCACCACCACCCGCCGTTGGCGTTTTACCACTCGGCACTGGCAACGATTTAGCTAGAGCACTTGGATGGGGCGGTGGCTACACCGATGAGCCTATTGGAAAAATTCTATCCAACATTGGTGACAGTGAGACAACTCTCCTGGACAGGTGGGAGGTCAATGTCGAGAGAAATCCAGATGCCACTGGGGATGATGATGGGGGCAAGGGGAAGGAAAATCTGCCACTCAATGTGGTGAATAATTATTTCTCACTTGGAGTTGATGCGCATATTGCACTGGAATTTCACGAGGCCAGGGGTGAGTTTCATCAACTGTTTTTTTTATTTGATTATTCTTCTTTTCTGGATTCAGAGAGGAAGCTCCTTTCCGGTGCGAATTTTTCAGTTGTCTATTTTTTTCACTCATTTTTTTTTTCTTGAATATCGCTGGAAGGGATTGATGCAAGAAACTTTGAAAGAAGTTAATGGATATCTGTGTAAACAGTTTTAGGAGAGCTCTTTGTATCAGATTTTTTAAATTTAGAACTTCAAGAGATTAAATCAGATTATAACTACGGAATTCTGTGAATTATGGGGTCGTATAGGGATTAAAAGAAAGCTGTGAAGTTCAACTATAAATGTAGAGGAGGGCTTCCAGGAAAACTTCGTTAAAGAGTTTGAAAGATTGAGAGATTCAACGCAGTGTAAAATACTTTCGGAAAGAAATATTCTGACTTTTTACTATTCACTAATTGAGTTTAAGTGGATGCAATAGTGTAGGCCCTCAAAAATCCTTCATTAATTGCGAAAAAAATAATCGAGTGCCAGAAGCTGATTTACGAATAATCCATGAGCGCCGAAATATTGAAAAATATGGTTTTTCAATCGAATAGGGAAATAGTAAAGAGTAATGCGTCGAGTTTTTAAGGAATATCTCTGAATTCAAGAGCGGTACTGATATTTCTCTCAAATCCTTTTTGCAGCTCCTACTCCACTCCACAAAAAAGATCTTGAGAAAAATTCCACCGTCTCTCATGAATTCAAAAATATTCTCTGTACACTCACATACGAATCCTCGACTTGTTTCCCTTTACCTGCTCATAACTGACTGAATTAATAAATTTTCCAGAAAATAGGGTTTAAATAATATCCTGAAGTACAACAAAGGTACCTCCCGACATTTTCCCCAGTTGCTCATTTCTGCAATAATATTCCAATTAGCAAAAACGTGAGAAGCTCCACACAAAGTTGCGATTAACGGTAAAGCTCGGGTGATGAAAAATTAATGTAACGGAAGTTGAGAATATTCAATTAATCCCGACAGAGGCACACCCTGAAAAATTCAACTCTCGCCTCCGGAACAAAATGTTCTACGGGCAGATGGGTGGTAAAGATCTACTCCTCCGGAAATGGAAGGATCTGTCGGAATTCGTGACTCTGGAGTGCGACGGCCAAGACATGACCCCAAAACTCAAAGAGCATCGGGTGCACGCCATTGTCTTCCTCAATATACCGTCTTACGGTGGTGGTACACATCCCTGGGGTGGCGGAAGTGGCACCAAAGAGCCAGCCACTGATGATGGACTTTTTGAAGTGGTTGGTCTTACGACTTATCAACTTCCGTTGCTCCAGGCTGGTGGTCATGGTACCTGCATCACCCAGTGCAGCAGAGCTAAATTAATCACAACGAGAACCATTCCGATGCAGGTAAATCATTCTCACAGTATCGGGGGAATTTGTGCGACAGTTGGTACCCTGGGAGGGTTGGGTTTGTGTGGGTGTGACCTTTTGCGCAATCGAATGGACAACTTTCCGATTGATCCTACTTTTATTCTTTCGGTATTGGAAAGGAGATTGGGAGCATTCCAAAAGTTTTATCCGAATACGTAAACAATTACGAGTAGACGTTGAATTTAAAGTGGAAAAGAATTTTTTTATTTCCTCTTTCAACTGGTTAAAATTATTTTATTTAATCGAATTTTTTTTTATTCAACCTGGCGAATTCAAGTTTATTCGGATAGAATGGAATATTGCTTGCATTTTTATTCAATTTCATTGGTTTCACTCTTTTTATGATACATAAATTTACAGAAATGATTTATTTCGAAGGTTTCGATACTGTTAATTAAATTTGATATGTTTGAGTGATCTTGAAGCGAGTAAAAAATTTCAAGTGGTGTTATTCGTGAGATATGAAACGTTTCTCTAATTTGTAAAGTTAGATTACACTCCATATTTTTAGTTGTAAAATTCCCCATTGAATTCTGAAATTTCAATCAAACTTATGTCAAATGGCTGCTTAAAATAGTTCCACCCTCTGAAAAAGCCTCCAATTTATGGTTTCCTTCCTTTCCGCATCCCCAAACAAACTCCTTTTCAAACAGAATAATCTAAATTCCACATCTCCGGAGGTCACGGATTCGGAACTTTTCTTGTTGCACAATTCGACATCTCGAATTCCCCCGAGTTATTCGATTCCCTTATTAAAGTAGCTCTACCCTTGTTATAAAATCAAAGTTTCTCGAAAGCTGGAAAAAAATTCCAGTAACCATGATTACATACGGATCCCGTCATTTTTCTTCAATTTAATTCTGCTTTTGATTTTTCAAATGGATTTATTCATTGAAAAATTCAACAAAAATCAATAACGCGGACTAGATGGAGTTGCTTTATAATTTTTCTCATGGAATGAAACATAAAGTGGAGCTACTTTAACATCACCCTCTGAAATTGGTTGAAAAATTTCCATGGAAATCCTGTGAATGGAATTTTTAACAGGTCGACGGCGAGGCATGCCGCTTGCTTCCCTCAATAATTGATATAAAACTCTTGAACAAAGCGACAATGTTGGCGAAACGAAGAAGAACAAGTAAGCCATCGCAAAATGTGGGTGCTAAGCTGGAGAGTTTAAAATTACCCCTAATGAAAATCAAGATGGCTGACTACATGGCATATCACTCGGACAAAGATCGTTTGAGAAAAACAGCTGTTGCCTGGCGAACAGAGCCCCTGGAGCTGGAAGCAACGATGGACCTGGAGTCCCTGAGACAGATGCTGAGCAAAGAGTACCCGATGGACTCATGCTGCTTCCTCGATTCCTACACAGCGGAGAGATTCTTCAGGATCGACAGAGCCCAGGAGCAGCTCCACTACGTGACTGACGTCGCTGCTGAAGCTGTTTACATTCTCAACGAGGATTCAGGTAGTCAGGCCCCAGTCGATACTGAGACTGGGACTTATCCAGAGCCAGAGACAGCCCAGGCATCACCCTGTGAGGATAAAATGCGGCTCGGTTCGTTGGAGGAGAAAATACCAGTGGCAATCGAGAAGAGGAGAGACGCGGTGGAGAAGGCCAAGAGCTTTGACTCTGTCTCGGAGAAGAGATTGGAATTGCAGAAGGAGCGCAAGAGCTTTGAGGACCTCAATGAAGACAACATGAGAAAGCAGAGTTCATCGAAATTTGTGGGAGCTGGACAATCTCACAGAGAGACAGGCTCGACCTTCATCAGTCCTCGGGACAGACTGTTCAGTCTCTCCTCGGAGGTTCACACTTTCAACAGTGGTCTTCTCGAGAAAACCTCTGATGGAATTATTATGGCAGCTAAGGTCGGGGATCTCAAGACCCTCAGGGAACTCCATGAGAGGGGATACTCTCTACTCTCCATCGATGCCAATGGACAGACAGCTCTGCACATCGCCGCTAGACATGGTCACAAGGATATCATTCGATATCTCGTTGCCTGTGCACCATCTACCATTCTTAATATGGTTGACAACGACAAGTGAGTTTATCCCTTACCAGAATTTATTTTCCTATTCAATTCAAACAGCAATTGCATTGGAAAAGAGAATTACATTTCAGTTACAAAACCCAGGCCTTCAAAAAAAAAGTTAACTAGTCATGGCCGGAAGAGTGATAGACTTGTATTGAAACAGATCATGAAAATTCAAATTGTATGTAGAATTCAACGAAATTCCCCAGGTCACTAGAATTTTTAATGAAGGCATGAATATTCAGTGCCGAGTCCTATTCAAGGATATATCCACCTGAATTTCACTGAATCCCATCAATTTCCAGGGAGTGATTACACTTAAATTCGCCGTTTCCATCCGTTGCATTATCAATTTTAGGAGAACAGTTTAATAATTTCAATGTCACGTAATTATAATGAAACCCTGTGAAGCTCGTGATCCCACAAATATTTCCACCCGAGTTGTTCTGTAATCTCAAAAGCTTCCAGTCGGGATCCATTCTCATAGATGAAAAAAAATATGCTCCAGGGGACAGACGGCTTTGCACAAAGCTGCCCAACAGAAACGTCGCTCAATTTGTTGCATGCTCGTTGCCGGAGGTGCAGCCCTGACTGTTCGAGATCGACACGGAAATACTCCCCAGCAGCTCGCCCTCATTGCTGAGGACCGGGATCTTGCAGCCTACCTTCACAGTAAATACAAAAACCACAAGTCGACTTTTTCATTGAAAAAAAAAATGGATTAGCTCGTAGTTTTGAAGTTTAATCGTTTTCTAGGTCAGGAGCAGTTTCAACTCGTCACCGAGGACATGCAAAACCTTCCCTGACCTCTCGCTGTGTTCTGAGAAATCGTCAGATGTGACTTTCGATTTTTAAATCTCGGAATATTAACCTGAGGGGCTGCGGCTGTCAGGTGTAGATTTCTTAGGGATCAAAATTTTTGATCAAATTATTGAGTCGGTTGTTCCTTGAAATGGAGCAACTCATTGGGATCGTCATATCTCTACTAGACGTTAAACACACAAGTAAGAAAATGATTCAATGGAAATTCGATTGAAAGAGCATTCTCTATTTTTAATTACCTCGAGAATTAATATTATATATTTACAAAAACCGTTCACCAGATTATTAACAATCCAGTGTATCTCTGTTGGGAACGATTGCTCCTTTTGTAATATAAGATTCATCTCGTGTGACGTTTATCGTGATGAAGAAATATCGAACTGTTAATGAGAATTTTATGATGAAGAGAAGTTTTATTCGATATAATCGACTCTCGTCGCTCTTTTTCAGATGATAATCAACTCGATTTTAAGGTAATGAAAAAAAAAGTATTATTATGCCACTTGGAATAAATTCGAAGGCACGTGGCATAAATCTATTATAATGTATTGTAATCAGAGTATCACCTCTATTGGATTATACCCAACGCGTCTCATTCGTCAGTTGGTATTATTATTATGAGAGGGTGGGAATTTTGGTGGGTGGGGGGATGAGGAAATAGTGAATTTAATTATCGGTACCAAAATGAAAAAATGGGGATCAACGTACGAACACCAATTAGTTCTTAGATACGGTCTATTGCTAAACTATATTAAATTATATTTAAACTACTTAATGAGGGACTAAGTTGTCATGAATTCCTGCAGTTGAGGACGCCAGGTCCGTGATTTACTCCCTCACAGGAAATTCTCTTGTGGGGGATGACTTTCAGTTTCAGTTGATAAATGTACTTTATCGGATGACTGTTTACTATGTTATATAGTTCATGAAATTCGCTCCAATTCACGGCAATCGATAGGGATGAGAAATGAGGGGAAAAGAATGACAGATACTCGAAAATTCTCACAAAATTGGGATAACTTATTTATCATTTTGGCTTTAGGAATGCTGTACAATCATGTGTATACACTTGCTGATGAACAAAATGTACAGAAACTGTTGTCTCCCATATACTTAAACAAGGCGAAACCCAGACTATTGTGGGCACTGTACATTCAAAAATATATGAGAGAGTGATCGATCGTAACGTGTAAAGACATTGCCACTTTCAATCAACTCCAACGAGACAGACTTATCGATGACGCGTTGTCGAGTTCTCTTCTTGTACTTAAACGAGATAACAAATGCCTTCTGTGGTCCACTTTAAATTTACATTCTAGGTAGTTAAAGGTATCAAGTAGCGAATGTGTAATTGTCTTAATCGAGCAATTAGTGGGGAGGGGAGTGGAAAATGTCGGCGAGTGGAGGATAAAAATTGTAACACAGTATTGCCTTCCTTATGGGCGCTGATTCGATCTGGATTATCCAATTATTTACGTTTATAGATTCAATAAAATGTCGGACAATCAACGATGATAATCCAGATCGAATTAATTCGCCTCTCACGTTACAAGGATCCCCCGACGAATGACGAATTATTGGAGTTACATCTAACTGGATAACTATTTGGCCCTAGAGATAATTACTGTTTTCCTGTTATTGTTGAGATGAATATCATTTGTTTCCAGTATTTGATTTTGTAAATTCTACTGTTACTAAATTGTTCGTTACTTTTATTCAGTGTTTGTCGACTGTATTCGAATATTTCAATCGAGCGTCAATGATCTACTCATGAAATTTCGAGACGCTTCCAATTTTTTAACACTTGGCACGTTAATTCCTTCAATTATTTTCTCTTCATCAAACAGCACGGAGCTTCAATTCAATTTGCCGATACAAACAGCTACGGATGAGATTTTCAAGTACACCTTAACGAACGGAAAATCGAGAGAAATAAAGTGGGATTCAACAAATTGGGTCGAGAAGATTAAATTCTTCGTTTATACGAGGAGAACAGTTTATTCAGTAGCAAGTCATGTTTTTATATCATTTCAGGAATTATTTGCACTTGAAGCTGAGTTTTTTTTTTCACTGAGATGACGAGAAAATATTATTGAGAATTTTCTACCACCGAATATTTTATTTCTCGTTGATGAATCCACGGAATAAATTTTCAAGCACGAGGAAAGCTGTGGAACATTTAAAAGGAAAATTGGAAAATCTTTCTAGTTGAATGATGTGTGTATTATAAAAGCCCTCGTATGTATTTTGATGGAGGAGTGAAAGATTGCGGCCTGTTGATATACCCTGAGAGATTAATTGACTTTAAACACCTAGATCGTATGGAAACAATCGTTTTATCACTATAAATGATAAAAAATAAACTACGAATCTCTACCATTGTTATAATTTGTTATTGTTTTACCATTAGGTTACTGATTGATTCACCTATTGAATTATCAATATCAATTAATTATCGGGATCTGAAGGATTAGACGCTGTCACTTAATCATCAAATAAATGACGAAAATTGTATTTAATCAAAGGACAAATGTTTTTCTACAAATCCTCTGTGTGTCGGATTTACTAAGTAGAAGGAATAATAGGGGAAGAGACTATTTTGAAAATTCCTACTAGATTGTAATGATCATGGAAATCACCAGTTCGATTCGAGACTACTGTTGTATTTATTAACCGATATTTTTTCATTACAAGATCAGGTCATTTGTTGATAACTGATAAGACAGTCGAGGGGAGGAGGGACAGACAAATGAAAAGGTGGATAGAAGGATAATGGAAGAAAAATCGAGAGAAACTAGTGATAAAGCTGCTGTGAATTTGCGAAATGGTCGACATTGTTTGAGAGAAAATGCTGAGGAAGACAGAAATAGTGAAAACAATACAAGTATCTTGATATTTAATCAGTTATAATTGTTATTACTCCATTGTTTGAAGAATTTGAATACATCATTAATTCTAATTTCATCAGAATAATTATCAATCATTATCGTTCATTATTAAATATATGGTATTTTTTTTTCATCATCAATTATTTGCTTGTATGTCAATTGTTCGATTCAATAGACATTTTTTCAGTACTTTCCAATGGAATCTCAACGTAATTCGTAATGTCTACTTATTATTATAATTGTTAGATACTGTATGACGAAAAATTCAGCGACTTAACGAGTGAGAATGTGAGAGAAAGAAAATAATACTATTCAAGGTAACATTGTAATTGATAATGACGAGACCATTATATTTTTTCTTCGATTGAAAATGAAAAAAAAAAAAAACGAAATAAATACAGAGACTTTTTTGCGCTGTAAAGTTTATTAAATTTTACGATAATAAAGCACTTTACGAATAGTAATCGCCAGTTATCGTAATTTGGTGAAATTAAATTAATCAACGTTATCATGAAGACTAGACAATAATACGGAATAATACGGAAAGGATTGAAATTGACTAGTGTCCTCCTATATGAATAGATACCCCTCGTCTCAGCCATTCATCGTGATCTTCACTGGGGCAGCCAACTGGAAGTGAACAGATAAGTTCATTTCTCTGTGCATCACAGTAAACTGGAATCTCCAGCACTTGATGCTTTAAACTGTATTTGTTGTAGACTGTGTCATTCTCATCAGTCCCCCCAGAAACATAAGCGAGTTGGCATGGAGGTGCAGCTCCTATTGGAGGTGCAGTCGAGTTCAATTCATGAAGAAAACCTTCTCTGATCGTAGCACCTGAAAAACAGTTAATTAAATTCAAATTCCCTCCGATTCATCCTCCCATTCCATAATGAAGTGGAGTTGTAAAGTACCTGAGATAAGCAGTCCTTCAATGATAATAGAATTCTTCCACTCAGTCTTTTCCCCGCTATGCACCCAGTGAGCCCTCAAGATCAGGCATTCAAGTGGATATTTCGATTCCCTAGCAGTAAAGTGTTTTAATGCAGCCAAGAAAGCTCGAGGTCTGGTAAAAGAGGAGAGATCAATACTCCGAGGGATTCCCTTTACAGCGGACAAAGCCCTGTCTTTCGATAATAATTCATTAACAAAAGGTAGGACTTCTCTGGGAGCCCCAGGCCATTCCTCCAGCCAGGATTTTGGCGTTTTTCCCCCATCCAGACCGGAATTCTCGAGATCAGACTTCACCGAGTTGATTAGTCTATTGATTAGTTTTTTTTCATCGACGAAGAATCCCTCCACTGGGTTTTTCCCCTCGTAAGCCTCATCAGATCTCTTCTGCTGGTCGATGTAATTACCCAGGTCCTTCAAAAGTTTAGATTCAACTCTCCTCGCAGCTTTTCTCTCCATGCTGGAAGAGGCCCGGGAGACCATGGACTTGAGCATGGAGATGGCCATTTCCGCTGCAGAACGCTCCCAGGCTCTCAGGGCATTGGCAGGCAGTCCGAAAAACTCTGCAGGGGCATCCGAGTCTGGCAACTGCTCGATGGATCGTATCGGATCCCTTCTGCAGGCTTCTGGCACTGATAAAATTCCTGCTAGTTTGCTCTGTCCCTGGAATACATCTCTGGCCCACGTGCTTCTGAGAATAGCCCCTAGTGCTCGCATGTCGAATTCGTCCTGAAGCCTTCCACCGTAGATTACCACCTCCAGGAGGCCTCGCCCTGCCTCCCAGTCTGGGTTGCCTCCAGATTTTGACATTTGGGGAACATTCACTACTAGCTCTCGAGCTGCCTCGAGGTCTGCCTCACTCCACTCGTATGGACGAATCCAACCTTGGGGAACGAATCTCCTCCGTTCCTGTAGAACAGCGTGCAGCCAAGCGAGGACGAAGATCTCTTCGGAATTACTCCCCTGATTTCTCTGCTGTTGCAGTTGTTTCAACGATCTTTTCAGGTTTCTCTTAACACCCTCTGGAGGCTCATACGCCAGTTTCTCACAGATTCCAGCGAGTCCTGGGTAGAATCCCCTGCACTCTTCAGTGGTCAACCAAATTCTAGTCGCAGGATTTTTATCTTTTGTGCACATTGCACTCCGCAGAAGACTCTCCAAACGTGGCAACCAACTCAGAGCCAGTTGGAGATTACTGAGTAACAGCCATCCACCATTTCTGCAGACTCTCTCTAAAGCAGTTTCAGCCTGCACCACCTGGCCCTGACCTAACGACACCTCGACAAGCCCCTCCGGAAGCTTAAATCTCGAAACAAGATTTCTCAATTCAGGTCCAGGATCAGCCCCTGGTGATAGTAAGAGTAGCACAGGTCTCTGTTCTCTCTCAGCAATTTTCTCAAGATTCCAGGGTGGCGGTGCCAAGTCCCTCACTCCGAGTTGCTCTCTCGTCAATTTGCTGAGTGCAGTGTGAAGATGATCAGGACGGAGTGCTTGAACAGCCAGAACTTTCTGGAAGGCTGTGAGGGTTTGATCCCTGTAGATATTCTTCGCATCCTCCAGCCACTCAGACTTCATTTTCGTTGCAATCTGGGGTAAAGTCGAAACAAGAGCTTTGACAGCGGATTTTCGTTCCTCAGGGATCCAATCGGGTACCTTGAAGTCTTCAGTGTCCTCTTTCTTGAGGACAACTCCATCCTGCAGAAGATTGCGTTCATTTTCTGGTACTGGTTCCAGAGATAGAGAGAGGTGAAGAGCCAGGGGAAGTCTGTGCTTGCGGTACGCAGCTCTGGTACAATGATGAAGTGTGAGAGAGATTAATTTTTTCTCCGCAAAGCTCTCCTCCTCCTTTTTATCACTGCCCATAGCCTCTCTCCGCTGTGCATCAGCCTCCAGATATATATCTGTGAAGGCTTCAACCGAAAAAACATAGAGGGGACTGAGAGAAGTCAGAGCTTTCACAGCTTTAAAAACACTAGCAGCAAATTTGGCCAGTTTCTCGTGTTCCTTTGACCTTTTGGAGACCTCCTCTCTCCTCTTTCGACTCTCCTCAAGTGCTCTCGCAATTTCTCTGGCCTTGGCCTGAGTGGCTTCCAAGGAGGTGAGCAAACCTCCCTCCTGACTTTCCTGTAGGAGATCCTGGCCCCTGGCAGCTCCTAATTGTTCCAGCAGATCCAGCCTGGCAGCATCTCTCTCTCCAGACAACTTCTCCTCCAGTTCCAGAGCCTCTCGTCTCTGCTTTTCCAACTCCGGTGTATCCCTCAGTAACGCTTTCTCCACAAATCTCTCCGCCAGACTCCGGCTGCCAGCCCCCAGGGTGATCTTGAAGAGAACAGCGTCAGCCTCACTGGGAAGAGTATCCAAGCTCTCTCTCCTGGTTGCTAAAAACAGTTTGAATCCGTTCTGGGCAGGGAGGGTTCTGTCTCCAAGCCTCAGAGGTTTTTTCCTCAATAATGGGAGAAGAATAGCTGGGAGTTCTGCTACTTCCTCTACGAGGAGAGGCTTTCCAAAACGAACAGCGAGCTCCAGGGTCGTAAGGAACTTAGAGTCTTCAGGTTTTGTCATTTCCAATTTGTTGCCAAAGTGTGCCTTGAACCAGGTGACAGCAATACCAGATGGATCCACGAAGAGAGGGACCAGGGGACCCTTTAGAGCACAGGCAGCACCAACTAAACTCCCTGTATCTGTGGGGAGGTCTTGAGCCCGCCACAACAGACGTTCCCTCTCGGTTATCAACAGCTCGAGTGCTAACTTTTTCCACTTGTCATTTCTCCCAGGATCTTGGTACACGAGTAGTGAGGCCACTTCAGCTGCCTCCACATCCAGACGAGTTTTCCTCGTGGTGAGGGCCTCGAACTGCGACTGCCAATCGCTGTGCTCCATGTCAAGCTTCTGGAGGAGAGCTCTCGCTGTTGATAGACTCGATTCAGTCGCTTCAGTTCGAAGCTGCAGAGCTGCTGCACCTCTCGAGTGTTCAGCAAGTTGTTCCTGCAGTTGAGCCACTCGAGACTCAACAGAATTCAGACCAGCTGCTAGTTTATCGATCTGTGCTTCCGCCGCGGACAGCTTCTCCGAGAGCTGACGCTGCTCACGCTCGAGGGGAGCCACCTGCTGCAGGATCTGACCGTACTGCAAATTCGCCAAGACCCAGGCAGCTAAAGGTGCTGCAGCCACTGACGCTCTTTTGGCTGTCTTCTCTTCAAATGAATCTGGACGCTCTTTTATCAGCTTTGCAACTGCCTCCAGACTCGCTGGAGTACTTCGCCTTGCATCCCACGTTCTATTATCAAGGTGGAAATACAAATAATAACGAAAATGTAACAGAAAGATAAAAATGAGAAAATCCAGAGGAAATGAATAAAAATTACCTGATTTCATCCTTGACTCCTCTTTTGGCTAGAAACGTCTTCATACTATTCCAAGAAGTATCTCTTATTCCCATGAGCCTGAGAACTCCCTCGAGTACATCCCTAACAGCAGCTGGAGGCGCTCTTAATGATCTGACTTCAGCCAGGGCATCAGCCCCAATGCCAGCCACTGCTTGTGCGGCAGCTTCTACGAGAGGCTCTACCTTCCCCAGCTCTCTCTCGATTACAACTTTTCTCTTAGCCAAATCAATGCTCTCTTTTTCAGTGTCTGCCTTCAACGTCGACATTTCACCCCGTTGACCAGTGGCCCCACGCATCGTTGCAGTTATTTGCTCGAGAGCTGCATTAGCACGACCTTTCTCTTCCTAAATTTCAGGATGCATGCATAAATCAAATTAATTATGTAATTTCCCTTATAATGGTAATTTATGAAAATTCCCCTTTAGTTTAATTTTCTAATTAATTAATTAATCTTACGTCGAGCTGCTTTCGTTGCTTGGAAGCTTCTTCCTCGAGTTTAGCGACCCTCTCCCCAGCTTCCTGGAGTCTGCTGATGCCAGCCCCGAGGCTCTCCAGCTTCTTCTCAACGTCACGACTCCATTCATCCTTGAGCTCCTTCCAGGTACTTAACAGTGCGAGGAATCTTCCAGGAGACTGTTGGCTCTTGGGAGCTCGTACGTGCGCGTCGACGAGAGTTTTCATCGCGTCGGACACGTCCTCACTCATCCGTTGAACAATTTCATTTCCCAGCTCCGCGAGAGAACACTCAACAGTCCACCACTCACTCCCAGGGGTACCTGCGACAAGAACACAGTGCTGGAGCAATCCAGAATGCATCAGCCACTCCCTTTTGACGTCAGATGAATCCAGGATAACGACCACATGGAGAAGCTTCCTCAGTCTGTGATAGAGGAACTGATCGAGGGTCCCAGTGAAATCTTCTTTCCTCGCGAGATCGTTGAGAGGTGCGACGATACCGTCGAGCTCTTCAGGTGTCAGCAGCCCGGGGATCTCCCCTCTCGATACGATTACGCCAGCCAGAACTGCCAGGCCATCTTCTCGCGCGTGGTGCTCCTCCAGAAGAAGAAGTGTTGGTTCTCCGTCGACTCCAGCTGTTTGCACTGCAGCTCTGATTCCAGCTCTTCCTCTTCCAGGTGCAGCATCAATCAGTCGGAGGGACGTGTACGATGCCGCCAATTTCGCTGCCGACCTTCTTCCGGCTCCAGGACGTCCCGTCAAGACGACCCCTCGGTGGCCACTTCCAAAAGCCCAACAAATTCCACCAACTGTTGACAGCAACGGCGAAGAGATTGTCGTGGTGACTGGATCACCCTCTCGCGCACATTTCGCCACTGCCCCCTCGACCTCCAGCTTCCACTCCTCAAGACCCATCGGTAGCAAAGATATTCCTCCATTCCACACGAACATCTCGGTCGATCGATCTCGTGAGTCAGGAATCTGGGACAGCAGGGAGGATCTCCAACGGGTTTCATCTTTCGCGGTGAGTTTTGGGTGGAAGAGACGTTTTCCAGACTCCAGGAGGTACTGGATGATCTCGGTGTTCTGCTCTGGAGGTGGGTAGAACTTCAAGGTGTTCGTCCACAGCGTAAGGTCTCGAGACGTCCAGGAAAATGACTCCTTCGGGACTCCAGAGAGAGATCCGTACATTGCGGTGGCGAGGGTTGAAATCCAGGATGAAGAAATACCGAGGGATTTCAAGGAATTCTCCAGGTGAACCTCAGCTGTGGAGATTAATGCTCTGGGGGAGGGATGCGGCAGGTGGTGCACGGAGAGAAGCGAACTCAGGCGAGGGTGGAGTTTCGTGGATTTGTCGGCGGTGGAGATGAGAGTTATTGGAAGAGTCGCGAATTCGAGGTCCTCCTCGTGGAAACCCAATTCCTGTAGGAGCTGGCGGATGAGTTCCTGGGGATTCAATTAATTTTTTTAAGAACTTTACAATTTTTGATTAATCATTCATTGAGATGATACCTGGAGTTCTTTAGAAGCCAAATGGATATCCTCCACTACCAGAATAACTCTATTCCCACTTCTGGGCCTATAAGTTCTCCAATGGACCGAAGATTCGAGTTTGACACACGATTTCTTGAGTCTAGCTGTCAAGTCCTGTGGACCGAACAACGAGGATCCTCTAACGACACTCATAGTCTCCAGATCATCCTTCAGAGAGGATAAGGCAGCGGAAATCAAACTGCTTCTGCCACTGCCTCTGGGGCCCCTCAGGAGAATCGATCGGCCAGACTCGATCCAAGGCAAAATCGTTGCCAATCCCTGTTTCAAGACACTCGATAGGGAAACAGGGCCATCCTGAGTATTCATCGACGTCTGAACCTCGGTGAACGGCTCGAGACGATCGAGCTCAGGATTGTACAAGACATTCAGAGGTTTTTCTGGGTCTGGGCACCTGCAGACGATCAAAACTTTACTCACACTCATTTTTTCTCCCGAAATCTCCATAAAATTTTCGATAAAATAAAATGAAACTTCAGAAAAATTCCCCAGTAAATAGAATTTCCGAAAATTTTTATCAATTTCTAATAGCAACTCAATGGAAATTATTTATTGCTATCAATTTTTTTCATTATGAAAACAAATGGATTAGAGATCCTCACCAGGTGTCAGTGAGTTGATAAATCATCTTGGCTATTTCCTCCCGGGTGTGATCATCCTCCAGCTGGAGGCAGATTGTCAGGATAAGCCCATGAGTAACGAGGTTCACAGAGGAGGCCTTCACCAAATGCGAGAAAACTGATCCAATGAGCCCAGAGGCAGACATTGCCTCTCCAGAGGACTTCAAAGCAGCTGAAACTACTGCAGGAAGATGAGCACTCGCAATATTTTGTGCCACTCCTGGAAGTCCATCCAAAGTCGAGGGACTCAGGAAGGCTGAAGGACCTGCACTTCCCAGGTGCACAACACCAAGACGAGAGACCGTTGCGGGACTGGCTCCCGATAGCTTATGGGTCTCGAAAATAAATCTCACACCTGCTCCTAATTTAATTCCCACACCACTAGGAAGTGTCAGCAATCTGTTGTCATCCAGCGCTGAATTGAGGGCTTCTGCCCATCCAGGTTCAACATCACCGTTCAAAATAATCCAAAGAGCAGATGAACCTGCTGACGAAATCGCAGAGGACAGCAATCCCTCTTTCCACTCTCTACAATCAATTAATCATTTTTCCATCTCTGTAAAATTTTCTGTTGGGATTTTTTCTATAAGAATTATTTTCGATTTTTTTATTTCCTCTGTGAAAGTATTATGAAAAAGTGATAAATAGACGGTAAAAAATACCTAGTCTGTGGGTCGACTTTTCCGAGAAGTCTGGTCTTGGGAATGGCCCCGGGAAATATGAGAATTTGCTTGATGGTTTCCCCAGACTTCCCCAGAGCCTCACTCAGTACATTTCTCACCAGAGTCTTTCCACACCCTGGAGGCCCTACGATCGCAACTCCAGTTCTGTTTCTCAATTGATCATACAACTGCTCGCACCGATTCACCACATCCCCCTGGATGCTCCGAGTCTCGCAAATGTCCTCCAGGATTTTCCTGAGGTCTCGCTTGACTTCAGAATCGCTGAGTTGCGATGTATCGATTCTTGGGAAAACGTCTTGAAGGAGCTCCAAGAATTTTCCGGTGTCCTCCTCCGTTAATTTCGGAAGAATTGCAACTTTGATGGCCTCCAGCAGTCTCTCAGTCTCCGTTTTAGACCCTGAAGTGGAGATGGCATCGAGAACGGACCTGAGGGCTCGCAGTCCCCAGTCGTAGTGCGGTTGTTTGGATAATAATTTCTCAGAAACATCTAGGGTCTCCACGGCTTGATGAGCGAGAGAAGAGGCCTCCAGGAAGCCTCCGCACTCAAGAAGGGCCTTGACGATATCATATCGATCAGGATGAGCCATTCCAATGGGTCTGAACAGTCGCGCCAGGGAATCAGGGAGTTTATTTCTCCCCCCGTAGTCATCTCCAGCGGGATTCATTGTGATGAACACACAGCAGTGAGGATCCAGATTGACCACTTGATCCCCCAGAGTAACTTGAGTGGATCCATCCCTCACCGCCTCCTGAAGAGGACGGACTAGCATTGCAACTGCACTCAGTGTCTTCTCTTCGAGACGATTGAACTCGTCGAAACAACCCCAGGCACCTGCCTGAGCCAGACCTCCAAGAATCCGCTTCATCACTTCCGCGTCCATTCCTGGAGATTTATAAATAAATAATTGTACCTATTCTATTTAATTATGCAACACGAATCTGGAGAAGTACTTTTACAATCCCCTCCCAAAGTAATATTTTTTTTAAACATTCCCTTTAAATGTTATTTAAAAAATCATCAAACCTTCGTCGCAATTAAAAACGAGCACCAGTCGTCCAAGTATGGATGCGAGTGCCTTGACGCTCTCAGTTTTTCCGGTTCCAGCAGGTCCAGTAGGACTTCCCCCAAGTCCCAGCTTCATGGCTTGTGTCAGAGCCAAAAAGCACCGCTCAGTCAACGGTGTTCTCACGAGTCCTGTGGCAGCTCCTTGATACTCAAATCCATACGAGAACTCAGCTGCTGCGCATTTTATAACAGCTCCCTGTCGTCCCTTGTAAAATCTCAGCTGTCGATTCCACGTCCACGCAGTGTTCCCTCCACTTTCTACAATCCTGAGGAGATCCCTGGCAATATCGAGGTGATGAACCGTATCCAGCAGCAAACTCCTGGCCTTCTGAGAGGTCAGGGGATCCCCAGCGTCCTCCAATCCCCTGAACTTGGCCCTCTGGGTTTCCAGGAACTCGATAAATTTTTTAAGTGCGGATTTTCCACTCTGCAGGGCTGCCTCACACCTCTCGGTGAAGTGAATTCTCTCGGAGAGCAGGAGAACTTGTGCTGGATAAAGGGAGGGATCAGCCTGATGGTCCACGAGGCACTTCTCCAGGCTCTGGGACAGTGCCTTCCTCAGGACTTCCTCCAGGTTCGACAGCCACGTCGGCAGAGGCTCAGAAAGATCGATGCTCACTGGTAGAGCCAGTGTTTCCCCTTCCGGAGAGACAACAGCTGTCAGTCGTCCATCCTCTCGCTGCACCGAGCCAACACCCTGATATAATTTCGGCAGGTGAGTGTCGAGACCATCAGAGCTCCCTGATATCAACTCCAGGAGGTCCTCGTCGCTGAGGAAGTACAGTCTGGGATAGGCTGAGCGTTTCTCTTCCAAGAATTCATCCAAACTCCTCTGGCATCTGTCGAGAAGATCCTTCAGGCTCACTAACGCGGGCATCGGCAGTCTCCTCAGGGATGGCACTCGTGGATCCTTCACCACTTCTCCCATCAGGTACCTGAATTCGATCAGAATTTTCATCCCCGAAAAAAATCCCTCCCATCATAAATATTCCCATCTTCTATAATTTTTGTCTTTCACATTCGGCTTGACATAAATAAAAATACCAGATATTTTTTTGAGAGATTTGGAAATTGTTTCTGGAGCGATTTTTGTTCGAAGAATTCTTTCCTGGAAGATTGTTACGGATATAAAAATAAAAATTCGCACCTGAACTCTTTATCCGCCCTCGTCCACTTCCCTGAGTCACTCGGAGCCGCTCCACTACCGTACACCGGCTCCAGGTACACCCATTTCCGTTGTAAAGATCCCAAGGCCATCAGCCTCTCCTCGAGCTCCACCAGAGCTGTCTCACACCGAGCTGCACGTGCCGCGAACCTCTCGTATCCAGAGGCCCCTTTTGCACCCTCCAGCAGCAATTTTAACTCACCAGCTCGAGCTAACAGTTCCCCGTACTCACCCACGAGGTGAATCGGCGAATTTTTGCTATCTCTGGACTCCTGGAGCTGCAAAGAGGCGGAGGTTTCCCAGGTTTCCAACTCTATCAAGGCCTGACGAATTCCACTCTCTGCTATCGCTCGTTTCGATATTTCCTGGGGGAAGACGAACGTTCAAATGAACGACGCGGCTCTTCATTTTTGTTTCAACTTTGTAATCGAATGAATAAATAACTTCCAATACCTTAACTCTCTCGACATTATCTCTGATCATCGGCGCAGCCTTGAGCAAATTCCCGAGGGTGACATCCCTGAGGTTTCCACCAACCCCAATGACGGTTTTCAAATCATTCCAGTGTTCCTCAGCTAGTTCGTCTCCCCTCAACAGTTGTACCCACTCAATACCCCCCCGGATCTCCTTGATTTTTTTTTCCACGAAGGTATCGATCTGCAGGACGTCCTGTCCGGATTTACTCTCCTCCGGGTCTTTGAGGTGTATCCTGATCCTCTCCTCCCAGGAATCCAGCCAGTCGTGAAGCCTCGGAAGCCTTCTCCGGGCCACACTCCACTCCTCAGCCTCTTGATTCTCAAGTTCCTTGAGGAACTCCTCCTGGAATCGACAGTTGGACTCCTCCGCGTCGAGCTCCGCCTCGAGTCTCCTCGAAGCTTCGACATCATCGTCGAGAATTTCATTGATATTTAATCCTACTCTGGTGCAGTCCGCTGTCAAGGAATCCCTTTGCTCCTCCAGGGTTGTCCAGCGCTCCCTCATGGAGGCGAGCCAGTCCAGAGTGACGGTCTCTGGTTTACTGGACCAACGCGCCTCCCATCTCTCTTTCTCATCCCTCAGGGCAACTCCTCGATGACGTAGATTGATTTTCGCGTCCTCCAACTGACGTGCAACCACTGTTTTATGCCTTTCAAGACGATCAGCGAGACCCTCCCACGCAGCAAGTGCTCCGGAAATCCCTAGGAAATTCATAACAGTGGAAATTGCTTTTTCGGAAATGATAATGATCTGTCAAAAAATTACCATCAAGCTTCTCCCTGGTCCAAGCAGCCATGACCCTGGCGAGTCCGGCAACAGCTGCCAATTCATCCCCAACTCCGCCGGACTCCTCAGCGATCCTCTTATGCGCCTCAAGGGCGAGTCCCACCTCCTCGACATCCTTTGGTCGTCGCTCCAACTCCCTGGCAGCGGCGGACAAAAAATCCACAACCCCGACGAGCCTGGATGAAGCCTCGCCCCTCAAATCCGAGGACAATCGATCCCAGTACCTCCTGGAGGCAGACTCCAGATCATTCCTGGTCGTCGAGGTGTCGACACTCAAGCACCAGACCTTGACCTCTCCTCCTCGAAGCTTCCCGACCTCCTGGGCCCACTGTTTGGCCTCCTTGAAAGCTTTCTCCCAGTCCTGCGGAGACTTTCCCTTCAGCTCCTCTCCGATATCGATCCTCGCAGGTGCGGCCAGTGGGACCCACTTCATCCTGACCTCCTCGAGAGCACAGAGCGCCACTTCCGCTTCCTTGTAAACCCCACCGTACAAATAAGCGCTTCTCTGGACAAGACTTCCGAATTTTCCATCGACGGTGTCCCCGACCCCTCGGAAATTAATGGGAATAGCCAGGAACCTCCTGATCCCGGAGTAGAGTTTAGCTCGAATCTCCTCAAGAGGCGGTCGCCACTGGAGACAGCCATCCCTGAAGGTCAGCTCAATCTTGATCTCCTGAAGCTTTCTGATAAGATTAGGAAGAGCTGCCCTGTACGCCACTCCGAGGATCTTCAGCAGTTGTCGATCCCAGTGCAGCTTCCAGGCTTTGGTATTCCCGTAATGTGAATCCACTTCGTCAACGACAGATCTCATGTTCCTGAGGGCGTCCTTCCAGGCGGTCTGACTTCCTACGAGATTCACTACTTCTCCCTTCAGCAAACCAGCGACCAAATCCCTGAGATAAACGTGTTTAGCCGCGAGTTCTGAGTTCTGCCTCGCGAATTTCCTCACAAACTCCCGGAGACGTGCCGTGTAGACGTCGACGGCGTGGAGGTCCGACCAGACGACTCCGGACTGCTCGTGAACGGCTCTGGCGAGTTCAAGGGCTGTGGTGAGCATCAGGGGCCTCTGAGAGGGCACCATCCTGTCGCCAATTGTATTATGAAAATTAGCGACTTGCTGAAGAGCTCTCGCACGTCCACCGAGAGCACCTGCCCGCTCCACCAGGTCCCTGATCTCTCGAGGAAGCTCGATTCCCTGGCCAGAGAGCGCCCTGGCTTCTTTCACTAGTTGGGTCAGCCTGGGATCGTAATTTACCTTCATCATGCTGGAACCCACCAGCTCGACAACAGCGGAATCCGTGCCAAGGGTCAAATCCCTGCTGTTGATTGCGTCCCTCGTGTCATTCACCCAAGTCTCCACGTGACTCTGGCGTCTGCCCTCGGCGTCTTTCAGGGCTGAGCTGATCCTCGCGGCTGCGTCCTTGAACCCAGGGAGGTCCACGAGCAGATCGTTCGAGATTTTCTGGAGTGTCTCCAGCTTGACTTCAGCGCACCGCGCTGTCTGGACTTCCTGGAGAATCCTCGGAACGTCCAGGAGATCCTCCGTGTCCGGGGCACTCTGGTATGTCTCGACGAGATCCTCCAGGGCGGCCAACAGGGACTCGCGCTCGGTTCGCAGGGCTCTTTTCACACCCTCTCGTTTCATGAGCTCTGCGTACCTCTGGAACTCACCGACGAGGAGCACTGGACTTCCTGCACCAGCGAACTGCTTCTTCAACTTCTCGGTTACTCGCTCTTCAGCTGGTGCCAGGCTCTCCTCGAGTCGTCTCTTTAGTCGCTCCCATTCGAGGTCTTTTTCCTCTTCATCGAGGACGATCTTCATGTCGTCGAGGTTGTGGAGAAGATTCTCAGTCCCCAGTGTCGATCTCTCGGTTTCTGTGAGCAGTCGCGTAAGCTGACGATGTTGAAGACGTAGTTCTGACGCTTGTTTCAGACGTTCACTGAATTTGGCGCACCTGGGGGGCGAGAAGGGTGAACCCTTCCATGGGTGGAGGGAGTGGTGTGGCCAGAAGAGGGTGGTCAACCGTTCGCCAACATTCACCCATTTTTCGCAGACGTTGGCAGCTATTTCGAAGGCCTCGTCTCTCATTCGAATGTCCCCACCCCGGATTTCATCCAAGAGGGACTGCACCAGGTTCACCACTTCGTCACCGATTATGTTCAGGAGGGATTTCATTTGATCCTCCGAGTAGACTGGACCATCCAACTTCCAGAGGTCGTCGACGCTCCCCGCAATCGTCTCCAGCACCTCCTCAACCCCGGATAAACCGTCCCTGGAGACGGCTGCACTCTCCAGCTCAACTCTGACGTCTTTCACGATTTTGCAGGCCTCCTCCAGGAGTTTTCTGTCGTTCGACTTCTTCGAGGATTCTTTTTTCTTGCGGAGGAGGGCCTCCTCCTCGATGAGCGTCGACGGAGGCCGCGGCCCCAGAAGATCCTCCTCTAGCTTTTTGAGATAGGATGTGTTCAGACCGGAAGACTCGAGCGTTGGAGCCCATACCTGACGAAGGGCTTCTATCAACGCCGATCCCGAGTTTCCACCGGTTGATGCCACTTGCACCAGCTCGTGGAAATTATCATTCGTGACGGAAGATGCTGCGACCTAATTAAAATATTCCGGGAATTTTTCGATGAAAATTTCGATTTTCTCCGAAGCTCTCTAACATACCCAAATTTTTATAAGAACCTTTCTTAAAAACCCCGATCAGCCCTACAAAAAAGGTTCTCACAAAAATTTTTGTACGACCTTCAACTAAAGAGATATCAATCAAAATCCGACCAATAATTCGGCGCAAAAATTGATTGGATAATAGTGCATTGATTAAATTATTTATACAGTATTATATTTTATTATTTTATATTTTTATTTTTTTTTAATTTTTTCAAATATTCTTCATATCTTTTTCATTGTTATCACAATTTCCATAAATAGCGAGAATTTTTATGAGGAATTCCATCGAAATACAGACCTTGAAGAAAACAAGTGTTTTCTTCCCAGCAGCCGCCTCACTACTCAACTTCAAATGCGACGAGTCATCGGAATCTCCCGGTTGTGCACAGAGGGTTCTAGAATTAGCGGTATCCAAGAATCTATCAAGAACCATGTGGTCCTCAGGCTCTAGTGCATTATTCGGGGAAATACCGAAGAAATGACTCGCTGTGGAAACTATGAAAGCCTCTCGCCTGTCCACCACCACCATCTTATCGCTTATCACTCGCTCATAAATCGCATTAAAAAAACAATCGCGGCTTTATCACTCGATTTTGGTTAATGCGATCATGAACACGTGCGTCCATCGAACCACCACTTGCCACATCCGGATAACTTTCCCAGGAGAAAGTGAAAGATCTCCCGGACTTTGGACGCACTGAGGAGACACCAGGGCAAAATTGATAATTCAATTTTTATGATCGCTGCCTGTTCTATTTGCGGTTGATGTCCATGATGGACGTATGGTTGATATGTCAAATAGGAAATGAAAATGAACAGTTAGTCTTCGTTGTCATGGATACAATAAAGTACAAACAAGTGGTGCACCTGGTTGCGCATGAGTCATACACGTGGATTTCAGGAATTTAAATCGTTCGAATTCTCAAGGACTCGCGGCTTTATTTTATTTATCCGGTTCGGATTTACCATTTTCATTACATGAGTTGAGAAATTTTTTTTTTTGCCGGTGCATATGGACGCGGGGGTTACGCAATGCGTGAAAATACGTGCGAGTTTGAAGTATGAGAAAAGTGCATTCCACTGCGTGCGATACTCCATCGAGTTGTGCATAATCATTAGCTGGTGACGACTATTCATCGATGATTATGCACTCGCCGTGTGGAAGAGTTTATCTCTGGAGGAATGAAGTGTATAAATCGCCTGAGGTATCAGGTTCCAGGTACCGCTGATAACACCGGTCAATATTTCCCATTCAAATTTATCGCGCTCTTCTAATGACTGGTCATTAATTTATTTTATTCCCCGGCAATTGAGTTTGATAACACACCAATGCGATTATGACACGAATTAAATTAATTGCAATACAATTAACGATATTAATTACAAAGTCGTTCATTTATCATAAAATATTAATGCATCTAACATTTTATGGTAGCATTCTATAATTCACTCTCAAAAAACGTATGATTTTTTAGAATCACGTAAAAGTGGTGATTCATTAATTTATTTATTTGGTAATTTTAAAGATTGTTGGGTGTTCATTATCTAGAATCGCCTATCGGGAATTGTGTCTAGTCTCCATTAATCCGAATGTTTTCCTGCATTTTTTACAAATAAATTTGAAAAAATGAAATATTAATGTCGGATTTGCGTCCAGATCTTTTGAAGAGTGTGAAATGAATGATGGAATGGGTTTAGTGTCCTTGGCAGGTCAGTCCGAGGTGTAAATTAGTCATTAAAAATCTACGATGTTTTTCCGTCGAGAAAAATGAAAATATATTGACCATTGTGTGCGTCAGACATTTTCGAAGTAATCTCAAAATAATTAAATGAAATAGTCAAGAGATAAATCATTATCTATATATTTATTGTATCTGCATTCGAGGAAATATTATACGCATCAATAATTCTGTTGATAGTCAATAGAGGAAATAGTGGCACGTCGTGGGAATTCCAAATGAACTTTCCCTCTATTTTCCTTTATCAGTTTGACATTCTCGGATTCACGATTTTTCGTTCCACTGGCGATAACTGTTTATCAATTACCGAATATTTTCCTCCAGTTTAGGATCGGATTTGATAGTGTAAAATTCCGGGAATGCCCAATGTATGTCCCCTGATTTTCCCTATCAATTACAAATTTTTCGGGGATTAATTTAAACGGGTGCAATTTATCCGCATGGTAAAAGATTTATTCCGATATTATAATTTTTTATGTTATAATTATAATTTTTTCGTAGGACTTCCGGGAGGATTGTAATTTTTCTATGAAAAATTGTGATTTTTCCTGGACTCCGGACAATGTGGACGGGAAAGTTGGTAACGACCCAAAAAATATCTCGTGATAATTGAATGCAAGAGTAAATGGTAAATGCCTTTTTATTTGCAGAGACTATGCTCCACAGCCTCTGCAATTATTTCGAAGCAAACATCGCAATTAGAGAGACGGTTTACACATCAGTCGAGTATAATTGTGATGGAAATTGATGATGCTTTTTTTAGATACATTACGACACTCACTTTATTAGGGTGTCACAAATCATGATAAGAATTATTAAATCCAGCGGACTTGACACCACTGTCGCAGCCTCAGTCGAGCACTTGCGATAAAATTTTATGGAAATTATATTGAAATGGTATTTCAGCAAATTTCCAATTAATTCACTTTTTTTATTCCATTCTAGTCAATTATTTCCATGAATTCATTCTATTTGGAATAACAATTAGAATATAATTTACATTAATGCTAAATCCCATTAAAAATTTCTACCTAACGTCAATTACAAATAAAAAAATTATTCTCCAAAATTATTGAGTCGTGATTCTCCCGTTACCATCGACCCAATTTCTGATCAGAAAAATTGATCGGTCGTTGTAAATAAAAAATTGAAAAAAAAAACCTGTCCAGTGGTTTTTCTAGAATGGAAATGACAAAATCGATGATTCGAGCATTGAATTTCAGAGTATGAGATGAAAAAAGTGATTCCCGAAAACCGCAAGCCCCTGGTGCGCCGAAGGACGAAGTTCTCTGGAGAACATTCCCACTGGGCAGACGTCACCAAAACGCCAATTTAACACCGACTGACTTTTCCCTGGAAGTATCAGCATTTTTTCACTTTTATTTCAGTATTAACTACAGCAGATTGTGCGGCGATTAGCGGTACCAAGGCCGCACAATGTTTTTTAGAATCGGAGTGAGCGGTGGAAGACGAACGATATAAACATTTCTACATGGAAGGGGCATCGTTGGTTGGTTCGGTTTGTTTCAGAATCGTGTACAGCAGTCTTGGTACTGCTTCAATACCAGCCTGGAGCACATCACAGCAGTTTAGTTTTTTTTTATCTCCCTTTTCCGCCTCCACCTCCTACCGAATTCAGGTCGTCGGTGTTTTACGATTAGCCCGCGGTCATTTGTGGAATAACTGTTCAGTGTGAAACCCCAATTGTTTCGAGATATTTTCTATTCATGGATTTATGCTGAACGGAAAATCAGAGGTACGTTTTCAATATTCAAATGGATCTCTGCGTAGTTTTGTCGATTTCACTGATGAATGTCAAATACTCGAGAAATTATTAATTTCTATTATAAATCAATTTTCATTAAATTAAAAATGAAACAACAGCGAAAATTGCAGCTACTTGTCATAATTTTATCCAACTATTCTTCCAACTACTCGATTAATTGAAAATGCCATAAAATGTAATCATTAATTATCACAATAATCTCGAGTTTATGAGATAATTGAGAACAGAAAGAGCCGATGAATTTTCAGAAATAAAAATCCACAATGCCAGAAATTAACGCGTGAATTTTACGAGCGTACGTGCAGGCGTATGACTTTCGCCCAGGCAATTGCTATAAAAATTAATCACTCATGAAAGTGACAGGCGACGATGGGCGGAGGGAAATCATAAATTTTCGGATTCCAGTGGCTGATTAAAGTATCAATGGGGTCGAATGGTGTGTAACGCGTGGCAAACGCATCAACGGAGGAATGCCAATTGCAAGATCCACTTGCAGCAATTATATCCCCCATGCATTATACCATTGACTTATGAATCCCTGAAAGAAAACGCCACTGCATGAATCACACTCCGAGAAACGTTCTCCGTCGACTATTTATTACGCAAAAAGCAGAAAAATATATAAACGCTCAGTGAAACACGGAAAAAAATCCTGGGAATTCTGTTTCTCTTTGCTCGTCCACCGACGCAACTCCATTGTCTGTCAATTCAATTTGTCATTATCTGTTTCCACAGGTGGTGACTTACAGCTGTGGAAAAGGATTCAATTACTCAATTAAAACGTTATAATGAAGCCAGAAACAGAAGGCAGGGGTTTTCCCAATACCCTCAGCCTCATTGTTTCAGTCCTGGTCCATGTTCTTCTTCTTGCACCTGTTCTCTACATCATCTCCATATTTAGCATTAATTATAGCTTCTTCTCCTGGCACCCAATATGCATGTCTGTCGGTGTGAGTATTGCAATGATTTATTTTGAAAAAACACATAACGCTTTCCCTCGAGAATTCTTATAGTGAAATCTGAAAAAATTTCCAGTCGACAGCGAAAAATTCTGATTAATAAAATGAATAATTGCCGAGTAATAATTTTTAAAGGAGCAATAGAAAATTTATTCGTTCAGAGTATTGAGAAGAAGGAAGTGATGATTGTAATGACGAATTATTCTTAGGTGGGGCTTCTGATCGTAGAAGGCGTCTTCAGTATATCTGGAGAGGCGAACCTGAGTCATCGTCTCTCTCGTGTAAATCGGGTAACCACCCACTGGATCATGAACGCAGTGGGCCTGACTCTGATGTTCATCGGTCTGATCATAATAATTGTAAACAAAAATAATCACAACAAGCCGCATTTTGCAACGACTCACGGAAAATTGGGCCTGAGTGCAATCGTGATAGCCTCGGTGGTGGGTTGTTTCGGTATCCTGGCGAACAACACCCGGTGGCTGTATCCCCGGGTTCGACCCATTCTCATAAAAGTCGCTCATGCATTCGGAGGAATAGCTATGACAATTATTTTCATAGCCACACTCATAAATGGTGTGTACAAGGAACCCCACCTCCTCGGGGAAACAGGAATCGCCCTAATCTGCGCTGCTCTGGTGATCGCTGCTGTTCTTGTTCTCTTCAAGCCCATCATCGCTGCCATTGCCAGGACCAAAGTCATCCTCCAGCCACCCCAGCCACACAATCAGAGCACATGACTAAAAACATTGTAAATTCCCTAAATACCATCAGAACCAGTCTTCTATTAATCTGCGACATCATCTTGAAATTTCTCACAACGACAATCAAAAGAAAATGAAAATTGCATTTGTTACTCATCCCTCAATTATCTCGACACCTCTCAGAGCATGAATAATCTAAAATGAAGAATCCCCAAATATTGAACTGAATGAACTGAAGCGGAATGAATTTTCGAGGGAAATTGAATGAAGAATTCAACCAACTAGGCATTGAAAGTGATTTTCTTGAATTTTTCTTTAAATTGAATAAATCTTAGAGAATAATAAAGCCCTCCGTCATTTAGGAGGCATTCCACCATAGGACTGTTCACCTCCAGTAATAAAATGGAATCCTCAATTGGCCCCATGTGACCCTGACGATGCGTACGAAGCGTAACGACTTGTGTACACACCTATTTGACAAGCCCCTGTGCACTCACATGTCCGAGGGTCTGAATGATGACAAGATCGATAAGGGATCACGGGAACAAGAGACTCGCTTGTCCCTGGACACTCGCTCTTCTCCGGAATTTTGTCCAACGGGGAATGACTGCCCTCACTCATTATGAAATACCATTTAAACTATGAAAAATTATCAAGACTCAATCACAGGACTATATGGAGCATTAAAAAAGCCGTCGAGTAAGCGTCGTTACGTCGTATTCTTACCCGCATACTTATGCTAATTCAAAACCGCAATGAATATGCTAAAGGCAATTGCAATGCAGTACTGCATCAGTAATTTTACGGCAGATGATTTTCATCTGCAGATTCCAAAGACAGATTGCCAGATTAAACTTCTACAGCTTCCAATATTGATTTAAAAATTGACAATTGAGTAACCGTAATGCAATCGGTTCAACCATATATCAACACTTTATTGTAATTATTTTATACACGCATCATATACATATACACAGAATGCATATACTTTATGTATATCTGTTCTCACTCTCATATTTGTGTCCTCATCTTTGTGTCCTCGTGGTACAATGTACATTTATAATAATACAACCGAGCATTTTCTTTTTAAAATATTGTTATCAACTTGTTATTATTCTGTCATATTCCAGTGTCTGTTAATTTCTCAGTTACTCACGATTATTATCCTTTTGTTATTCCCTATTATCCACCAATCGTCGGAGGCCCATCGCAACTTAACATTATGCAACAACGTGTACATATTTATTTATAATATATATTTATACATTTACCCCAATTTATTATCTCTAGAGTCTTAATCTAGAGGCTTTTATATTTTTTTTTCTCACAAGTCACCGTTTGTCTTTTTCTTTCAGCTTAACTCCTGTATCATTTTCATTTTGTATTCATTATTGTGTTTGATTGTATAACGTTTTGTTTGGATTTGTCGAAGAACTTATGTTCATGGAAATAAAGGTATTGTACAATTTTCATAGCTCTGATTATTCGAAACTATTGTAAATAATCTTTGATTGGTATTTTGATATCCAGAGTGAATACTTTTAATTTCCCGCGGGTGAATTTTACGCTTCTCCCTAAATATTCTACTGGAGAACAATGAATTCCATTGGAATCGATGTATATTCATCCAGCGTTTACAATATCTTCTGTTTCCACCCAAGAAATCCAATTCCCCTCGGCTAAAACTCAACTTTTCTACCTATAATTAGCTCCTAGGGCACTTTGTACTGTTCGCTCTACTGGTGTTTACATTTTTCTTATACTTTTGGTGATTGATTTTTCTGTCTGCACCGCAACAAGTAGATTTTCAAGCTCCTAGATTTAAACATCTACTGTTTGATTAATCTCCCACTTATCATCCGGGTGATTCCCTCCTTTCCCTATTCTCAGTCGTAAAATATTCTATACCTACAAATAACGAAAATAATATTAATCCCTGGAAATTCGTGTTCACGGTTGTATCTTAGTGTTGATAATGACCCCATGTATCCTCTCCGTTTCAACCTAGGTGACATTTATCATCTAATTATCTAAATTAATAATGTAACTCTATTCACGTTATTTAATTTCCCTTGTTCGTACGAGAAAGCTCATTGACATGTTTTTCGTGTATGCTACGCTCTTCTCGTTCTCAATGGAAGATCTCAAGCCATTTAGCAACAGTTAATTATATCTAACGCATGGGATATATCCCAGTTATATATTTTCCTCGATTCAACGGAAATCATAAATTGAGAAAAAATGAAAAATAACAGATCAAATAAACTCGTGAACATTTCAATACTTTCTTAAACCCTAGAACACGTAAAAACATGCACTCTCATTCAATGCAAACAGTAACATTATTAGATAATTATTTTTCATCAGCTCTGATATACATATTTGGTAAATCACTCGACACTTGCTCACAGATATGAGTATATGCTTGAACATTCGTGGGATTTTATTTTATTCGGATTATTATTCTTCTTCCCTTTCTCGGAAATCTCCAGTTGTCAATTATTATAGAGGTATTATCAAATGATGCGGAAGTATGCAACGAGTGCATGAGGGTCTGTCTCAAATGTATAATATCTCTAATTGTGTAAGGTTTAAATACCAGTGAAAGTGTCAGTCGGGATGAGTTAATAGGATTAACTATCAAACCATTGACCCATGCCCTCCAGCACTCCCCTCAACTCACGTTGTACAATATATCATATAATTACACGGTTTAATCACTAGCAACATGTTGTAAATGAGCCCAATTTCTTCAGTATATGTCTCTCACGTCTCAGCTCTTCACATAAAAAATAAATGATTCCATATTTAAATAGATTCTCTTTTAATATATTTTCCCACAATTATTGACTTCACGTACACTTATATATTTGTGATATATTCTTCAAATAATGATTATATCAATGCACGTTTCTAGCGATTCTGGCCCGCCAAAATTCCCTGAATACCACTCTTTTCTTTTTACTCACGATTATTGAAAACATCTCTCGTTCGCTACTGAACAATTCCTTGTCAGAATCGTTAATCAATAGTCATTTTCATCTTGAAGACACTTAACTAAAATCTATCTTATGGATAAGCTATATCAATTGGTTTACCTTCTAATGAGCAAGACACCTGGACAATGTGTGAATGTGGCAAATAATCCTCTTGATTCATCCATTAGTTATTGGGCTTCAATTCTAGTTGCATTAGTTCATCAACATTTTTTTCCTCGTATCGAGCGAATCCAGTCGTCACAATTCCGTGAAAATATCGCGCAATCGTGACACGCGTCTAATTGGCCACAAGCACGCGTCTCAACGATTACGTAATATTTGAGTCAATCAGTAAGAAAAAAAAAATAAATAAAAGGAAAAAAGAAGTAGTGTAAGGAATTCCACACGGAGAAACAGAGACTATGATTTCCCAGATTCGTGTCCTCAAGGATGAATTTTTCATTTAAATAATAAATAGCGTTTTGAAGAATAAAATATTATCGATTACTCCGAGTAGAAGTGCACATCATGTCAGACCTGTTGTGATGTTATGAGATCAGCTTTACTGGAATTCTTGAGAATCGATGGACCAGGAAGCTTTTGCGATGTCCCTGAGGGTATCGAGGGCTGCAGCATCATCGGTTGACCATTCACTAGCACTATGGTGTCTCTCACTGAGTCATACCCACCAGGTTGGCCTTAAATGCCAGACAAATTGATTTCAATTGATTTCAATTGATTTCACAATTATTCACATTGATTGATTCGTAATAAACTATTGAATTGACGTGCGGAATTCACCTGGTGGTGGTGTATGAGTCAAAGTTCTCGACGGTGTGAGAGGATTTCTGTTGGCAGGTCTCCACTCGGCAGTAGGCTGTAGCAACATCCTGGCCCTTGCCCACACCGACTCCCCTTTTTTTTTCTGTCTGACGCGTTCAGAGCTCCTGGAGGTTCTCGGGTCTGACTCGTCCTCGTCATCATCGTCGTCGTCGTAATTCGATCGTCTCTTCGGGGCTCTCAATTGGAACTAGATGAATTTAAGTTTAAGCATCGAAGACAGGAGAGAATAAATGGAAATCAAGGTCTCACTTTATGGAGGACGTTAAAGGAAGACATTATGCAGTTGCCACTCACCAGTGCAAATAAAATGATGACAAAGACCGGAAATAATCCCACAAGCCAGCCAACGGCGTCCGCCCATCGTGGGTATACGTAAGCGCCGTAGGACAGTGGCTCGTACTCGACCCAGTTGAAGAACAGGATGAAGAATAGGGCAGCTGGTGTTATCACCTTCCACATCCACGTCCAGAAGAATCTCCAGCATCTCCCTCGGGGACCTATCATGTGCTGGACGTCATCCAGGAAGCGGTCTGCGCCGTACACCCACGCTACCAGGATGCATTCGCTAATTGCTATCAGAAGGACTGACCAATTTGCTGCATATTTATCCATCAGCTGGAGCCAGTACATTCCGGCCTGAAATACAACGAGTTTCTCTTCGAAATGGACCCAAACAATAAATTTGAGATTCAGTGCACGAGCATTGAAGATTTATTCAACAGTTCCACATGAATTTCAAGTTTCAGAAAATCTTACCAGTGGAGAAGCAAATGTTCTATTGTTTTTTTGTTTAAATGCAAATACCACGGAAAATTGTGGAGAATTATCGATTTTTCAGCGGTGAGAAGATGAAATTTTCAATTATAAAAAGATCAAGACTATATTTTTACTAATTCCAGTTAATTCAGTTATTTTTCTTGGCTTTTTCGGGGAAATGCGAATTTTTTTATGTGAATTTCCATGAAAATGTTTTTCTGGTCACTGCAGCACAGGTAAATATTTCAAAATTTACGGGAAATTTCCGGGAAAATTTTTTTATAGCGTGGGTAAATGATGTATCGTGTGACTAAACATTATTAAGTGTTAAACGAATGCAAACTACCGAGGGAATAAAAAAACGAGATGATATAACTCGTCAAATCAACATTGACCCACATCTCGCAATTATTAATATCAAAACCTCTTTTCGAATTTATTCTCGATCCAACGACGCAATTGAGTATCGAATTCCCAAGGACACCTCGACTTCGGAAATTCGATAGAACCAGGATATTCATTAAAATGTAAATCACCGTTATCTGATTGACTTCATCATCCCCAGTTTGATCATAATTCGATAAAGCATCACACAACAATCGCAAATGGCTCAACAAATCAAGGCAATAGTAAAATTACGCGACCACACCGCGAATTAATCCAAATAAATTCGCTTGATTGAAATTAAAAATTAAATTTCTGAATTCCCCAGATTTTCCGTCACTTCCGCGGATTAATTGATTCGAAAAATCAGTTATTTGATTAATTAGCAGAATATTCAATTTATCAATGAAGAGATGTGCCAGAATTTCGAATAAAATGGAACGAAATATTAAATGAAATTATTTTTTTCGTATTGATTGACAAATATTTATTTAATCAAGACTCAGTAACTGAAGTCTAATGAATTTAAAAATTCGGGAGAAATAAATTTTCAACTCACATTGGTAGTGAAAATAATTCCCCCCGCGTAGCCGAATATCGATACCCCGAGAACAACCCAAGTTTTGAAATTCCTGAGTGCAGGAATACCATCGAGGATAGCGGTAGTAACAGTCTCCATGAGTGCAAACTGGGAATCCAGTCCCAGGGTCAGTAGCATCACGAAGAAGAGAAGAGACCAGATAGGTGCAACTGGTAATCTCGCCACAACCTTGAAAACAAATTCAATAATAACTGGGGGTGGTAAAGGGAGGAAATCAATTATCATTCAGTAACTTACCTCTGGATAAACAATAAACGCTAGTCCAGCTCCCTGATCGACAACCGAGGCAACGGGTACGCCAAGTTCATGAGCGAGAAATCCAATTACCGAGAATATAACTAGACCAGCGAAGAACGAGGTCCCGATGTTGCTCACTGCTACGATCAGGGAGTCCTTGTAGCAGTTGTTGTCGAATTTGTTGTAGGAACTCAGGGTGATCAGGCCACCCCAGGCCGGACTTAGGGCGAAAAATATTTGAACTGCTGCATCACCCCAGACCTTCGCCGAGGCAAGGCGCTTCCAGTCGGGGGTCAGGTAGAACAGAATTCCCTCGTCGGCTCCTGGCAGGAGAATTCCTCGGATAAAGAGGGCGATCTGCAGCAGCATTATTCATTATCGATGGTATTCATTAGAAACGAAAAAAACAAATAATCACCTCCAAATAAAATAAGGTTGATAAATGGGAAATTCAAAGGGGAAAGAGTTTGTTAAGAATTTTTTTTATTAATAATGGCTTGAGGCAGCGTAAATTACCAGAACAACGTAGGGAAATAATGCAGTGAAGTAAACGACTTTCCCCGAGCTCTGGACCCCTTTGCTGAGGCACAGGAACACGATGATCCAGGCGAGAAGCAGACAGGCTGCCATTGCCGGACGGACGGATCCAGTTATTTCAATTCCTTCACTCATTCCCAGCACATGATGTCTACATAAATTCAAAGATATAATCTCATGATCCCAGTACTCAGCTAAACCATCTCAACTTGTCTATTCGTAAATCTTTCCCGTGAAGCCCATAATCCACAAACAATTTCCACCGAAAGGTGAAAGTCTGCAGACTATTTTTATCAAACAGATATTTAAAAATAAATTTTGTATAAAATTTGAGGGAAATTATTCACGTTCTAATCCAAACGCGATGGAATTGAATTTCTCATAAAAAAATTATTGATAATCAATATTTCTAGTGTTATTAATTAATGGATTATTTCACTTTCCCCGCAGGATTCATTGAAGTAATTATTCCCAAATCGATTGTCACCGATTGCCAAACGGTTTTCAGTTAATTTAACGTTTCATTCTCACTCGAAATATTCCTCGGCTGGGGGCCGTCTCACTGCCGATGCAATTATGTCTGCTGAGAGGTTCATAGCAGCTTGTTGGGTTGAATTTAAACATTGTCGTTTGTAATAAGAATTATTCAAGCTGGCGCACTCCTCCGCTTTTATCGGTTCGATGCAGTCCTCACCGCTCCACTCGGGCTCGCAATTCGCCCAGGGTAGGCTGCTGCCTCCTGCAGGCATTTAAAAAATGAAAAAAAAAATAATATACATGAGGATGCAATAACCGGTGACCTAAATGGAAATGACGAGTGGTAAGCCAATAATTAAATCAGATGGGAAATAACAATGAGAGCGTTTCTCGTGTTTTCATTCTCCGGAATTGCTTGAGCCTTCATATGTGTTTACCATACAGCGATTTCAATAGTAATATTTCCTCTGAATTATTTCCTGGATTGTTCTCCAGATCTCCCAAGGATTCTATTGAATATTTTCGGCAGGAACCCCCGACGCGATTTTAAAATTCAGACTTTTGGAAAAAACTGAATCAAAAACATAATCCAAGAACAATTGTCTATGAGAATTCGGGGAGAAATAGCGGAAATATCGGGATTTTGGTAAAATAATTTTTTGAAGCTCTCAGTCTTCTCCATAAAAAAGGTTTTGAGAAAAATTTTGTCATCTCTCTTCGATTCGGAGATATTTCTCGAAAGCTCGAGAAGGGAATGAGCAGACTTATAACATTTTACTTTATTACTGAATTTTATGTTATGTAATTTTATTTAATTTTCTTTCATCGACCATTTTTACTAGAAATTCAAGTAAAGTGATGAATTGTAGTCATTGTCATTCACAACAATCTGCAATTTTAATAAATTCCCTGTGAAATTGTGGATTTCGCGATTATCACGATTTTTCTTTTACCAACGAAGTGAGTAACTTTCTACGAGCTGGAATGAACGAATGAGAGAGGGTGATGTTAAAATAGCGACCACAATGTAATATTCTCACCAACAACAGATGCAAACATGTAGTAGAGCGTCCAAGCGATGATGAGGTTGTAGTACAGCATAACTACAGAGCTAACGAGCACCATTCCGTATCCGAGACCCCTGAGCAGTGGTGAAAACCTCTTGTAAGCAGCAACTGGACCCAAGCTGGCATATTGCCCTGGAAAAAAAGCCCGGGGAACATCGTAAATTTCGAGGACATAAACCCGGAGCTATGAAAAAAATTCCGAGAGAAAAGTTTTTTGGAATTCAGAAGTGAATTGCCCCGAGAGGAGTCAATTTCTCTTCAGCGTCAGCATTACGCTGAATTTTGAAGAGAATATATTTTATGGGTGATGGACGCTTCAATTATTTCGTCTTTGAAATTCTGTCAAATAGTTTGATTGACACTAATGGCGCAACTCTAGAAAATTCATATCGCATTATTGCTCGGCTGAAACCACTGAGGACTTTGGAGCGTTCACTGAAATCGGTGGCAGTTAAATAAATATATCTTTCAGATGAAATAAAATTTTGGGATTATTTTCAGTGGGGGAGGGATTTATTTACCCAGTGAAAGCTCCATGAACATGAGAGGAAGCCCTGCGATGACGAGCATAATGGTGAAGGGGATGAGGAAGGCACCACCGCCATTTGAGTAGCAGAGGTATGGAAATCGCCAGACATTTCCGAGTCCCACGCTGTATCCCAGGAGGGAAAGTAAAAAATCAAATTTTCCCGTCCACGTTCCTCGCTCCGGATGCTCATCTTCCCCATCCTGAAGGGGTGCTTGACTGTTGGCCACTGAATACTTGTCCTCATTCTGAAAATATTTATAATCTTCAAATAATTCAAGCGAGAAAGCGCCTTCTCGCTCATCAGAAAATATCCAAACAATTAAGTTCAATTTTTTGTGCATCAGATTTTTTACTGTGTTTATATATTTTATTGCAGAAAAAATACTCCATGAATATCAATGACTTCAATTCATTCCGTAGCAGAGTGAAAATTAATAATGAAATTTCACTGTTGTGTTGAATATTGATTGACCTAAAAAATTAACTTTAGGATAAAATATTAAAAAACGGATTTCATCGAAATTTGATGAATTTTCACCCTCAAATCGGCTGCAGACAGATTTTCCCGCACACGACTAGACCCTGAAATTTCAATTCTAGACCCTGACATTTCGTAAAAATAAAAAACTCACATCCCAACAGTCCAGATAAGGTTTCATCCTCGGCGAGGAGTCCTCCATCCTCTGTTCTCGCTTATTCGCCAGATTGCCTTGTTTCACGTTCTTCTCCGTTTCATATTCGATAATCACCTAAACACTCTCTGCACTAGTCCCTCAATTCGTTTCCATCACAAGAACTGTATCTTCTCGTTTCCACAAGCTGCATGAAGCCCTTGGCTCGATAAAATCACGACAGTTCAAACGAGAAGAGTCGGCAGATCAGCCAAAGACCCCATCGATCTCATCTGAAATTCATCCCCCGTACGTTCCATCAGTTTTTCTCCATCTCATTCACCAAAGATTGGCGCACAAAGAATTCCTGATCGAATATTTATGCCCACACCAACCAATCCGAGAACCGAGAGACGAATCAGAATGAATAGTCTCCAAATGACTGGAGAATAAATAACAATGAAAACCAACAACAGACAAAGATAAAAGGGACTATTACTCATTTTCATTTCCCTCCCCAGGACTCCCCGCATTTTCATGGAAATCGTGGGTTTTCAGAATTGCTAATAATGCGAGTGGGAATGTTATTGCATTGTGCAATTTCATTACGTAATCTGGATTACACCGAAATTCGTATTAAGAGAGTTTGCCAGTGTTTATTCTCCCCGCGCTGGGGGGTCTGATTTATTCATCGAGGAATAGAACAAAAGGGGAATAATCGACTCTATTCGAATTCAAAACCGAGTTAATGCGCCAATGCGAAAATTCTCTTCAACTTCAAATTATTACTCTACCACAAACGATTATTTTTAAAAAATCCCGGGAATGATTCCCCAACAAAGTGATACAAGCGCATCTGTTGTCTCCGCCCTGACGTCAGCTTTTTTTGGAAATATCCCTGAAACCGAGGGAGATAATGAGATTTTCGTTGGAACCTTTTTTACCGGGCTAATTGAGATCTGCAAAAAAGGTCTTAACGAAAATGGCGCCATTTCTATTGGTGTCAGAGATATTTTGAAAAAACACTCCCGGTTCAGTTTTTTCCTCGCGATTCAGGTTTTCGGCGTTCTCATTTTTATTTAAAAATTTTTTCAGTTTATTTTGATAATATTGATGTATGATTTTCGGTGGAGAAATGATTGATAGGGAGAAGGCATTCGAATGGAGTAGTGTAATTATCGCCGATTGGAGTAGTGATAATTAAATTGTTCACTTGATAAAAGCTCGAGTGACGCAATCAGCCCAAGGTCCTTCGCTCCACTAAAAACGTATAATTCGACACTCACCAAATACTCGTGCCCTCGATGTAGTGGGGATACGAGAGGGAGGAGAATTTCAATTCAAATTCACCTCCCGGTGAATAGTTGCAATCACACACTAGCACGTTTCATTGATTAAAACCATCCGTTATCCAGGTACAGTGGTAACACCGGTGGCAGAGCCTTGAGAATAATCAAATGCCACTGTCGATTGCCCGGTCAGCTGTTTTCCAACCTCGAGGTCATCCGGTACGACCCTGACGATGATGACAACTGTTGGCCTTGAAGAGAAACCTCCGCCGTGGGGTCCACCACCTCCGACACCTCCTCACTTCTCCCAGGTTCCAATTTTCAATCACATACACACCATCAGGAGAACGTATCAACCACTAGGGAATCCAGGAAGACCGATGACCGAATAACTTCTAACAGATTTTCAACACCTTTTGCAAATTTTCGCGTAAAGATAAAAAGTCAGATTAAAGGAGAAAGTGACAGGTGGCAAATGGAAAATGAAAAATAAAAAATGAAAAATAAAAGATGAAAAATGAGAGATACTTGTTTTTGTTGATTATCGGTGATTAATTAGGGAAGTAGGGGAGTAATGGATTGTTAGGAATTATTGTCGGGTGCAGAGACACGACAATTGTCGGGGTTGAACCGATAAAAATATCGAGCGACGGACGGAGAGGTGAAATGAGCCCGCGTCCGGCCAACACCAGCCTCCAGCCTCTTGTGGGGGTTGTACCATTGGGAACAGCAATGCCAGGTGCCACACACCCACACAATTTAACATCAAAATACGCGTACACAACACCCACACAAGGTACCAGAGTTGAATTCGATCGATATTACTGCTCCTGCGAGCTGCGTCCTACCCTAAACCTTGCACTCTTGTCCTCCATCACAACCGCTATCACTGGAATGGTTATATCCACCCTCACGGACCCCTTCAATCTCTATCCCCCCACCACTTGGCCCTATGCATTCTGCTAGTCGATGGAGAACGAGGGATAGAGGGAAGGACGCCCTCATCTCCTCGTCCTCCTTCAAACCTATTTCCACTTGACTATTTCTCATCGATATTTTACCCTGGATTTTACCTTACTCCGAGGAACCAGCCTCGTCTTATCGATCGTTATCATTATATCGGTATTTTTAAGCGCTCCTTTACTTTTTCAGATCCTTCCCAATGCTCGGCATTTTTCACACTAGTTCTGTCGGCTCGCACATTATTTATTCATTATTTGCCGAATGAAAAATACATATAAAACGGAAATTAATTGAAATCCATTTAAGATTGTTTGATTTATTGAGAGAATTGATTGAGTGACTGAAAAAATCGGGGAAGGACCGGAATATTTGGTAGTCGAATTAATTGGGAGTGAAACTCATCTAGAAAAAGTTGGAATTCGATGGATTAGAGTAGAAAATTCGAGAAAAATTCGATAAGCTCGATCAGCTAACCGATATTAGATATATATCAGGTCTTTTTACCCCTTTTTACTGTGAAGTCCCTCATGTTCGCACATCGGCATGAACCATTGAGCGAGTGAAAGCGAAATACGATGGCATAAAAGCGTCGATGTCGTACGAAGGTCGAAAGTCGAGTCTCTCATTTCGCTTTGAGAATTTTTTTGCATTTTCCACACTTTCCTCAACTACCAACCTCTCTTCTAATTCAGTCCCCGGCTCTTTCCGGCCTGAAAATTCCCCTGAAGAGACCGTTTTCCTTCGAATATGAATAGCGAGATCTATGAGAGTGGCACATCTTCAAACAAATTATACATAATGTTGCAAAAAAATCTCATTCTCATCGACTCCTTGTATCCGTCAGAATAGTTAATTAAGAATTGAGGATTAATTGACAATTCGTAATTTAAAGAAAAGCCAATGAGAGTGGGAATAAAAATTCAATTATTCGATGAGATTGAATAGCGAATAAACACTTTGTCGCTTCAATTTTTTAATTCATAAATTATTCCGATTTTCTGAATAATTTATGTCGATGAAATTGCAAATTTTTCAATAAAACCAATTAGCTATCCTTTAGCATCATGAATTTTCCTATTTTCTTAATGAATTAAAATCCTAAAAAAACGCAAAAAATTTATTAATTTCCCATTTCCACAATCAAAGACTGAAAATTTTCCCAGTAAATGCGAAAAAATTATAAGTACATTTTTCGCAGAATTTTTTGAAGTGAGATATTTTGAGAGGATTGCGATTAATTTCTCGGAATTACTTTTGATCGTTGCGTTAACGAGGGGAAGAATTGTGGAATTTCATGGACTATGAAATATCGCTACAGTGAATACGAGGACAAAAGCCAAAAGAGGACTCCAAATAATCGTCTGCCTCTCATTCATTCATGCATTCTATTCAATGAACCCGAGGAGGTATTTCTGGTTGAAATTCAAGTTCCAGGAAATTCCGCTTATCATCATTAACGTATGAAAATTCAAAAACGTACAAGGATAACACAACCACGCACGATTAACGATTATTTTCTAATATTCGGGGAAATGAGAAAACCCCCCGACTACATAATAAAAAAAAAATCAATAAATATCAAGTAATAATAATAATAATAATAATATAATATAATTTATAATAGCTCCAAAGAATAAATAAATTATTGTAATTCCTGAGATCCGTTCGTCAGATTCTGAAATGTGTGAGAAATTTCGAGGGAGAATTTTCACCCGGAGATTTTTAAAGGAATTGAACCAATTTTGACTGAGCCATTACCGCCCTTCTCATTCGAGGCATGATGATCGAAGGGGTGTACGAGAGGATTCGAGAAAGGGTACACAAAGGATAGGGGTCGGAGGTAACAGGAAGGTCGGGGCTGATCGCAATCCGTTGGCATTCAAGTGAATCCCTCATCCCCGAAAAAAAAAAATCACTCACCCTCATGTACTCGTCTATTTTCCCTAGTCCTCTATCCCCTTGAATGCGATCATCATCGAGCGAACGAAGTACGAGTGTCCGTTTAATTTTCAACGTCGTGTGAGGGAGAAAAGATGAGGGAAAAAAAAAACTTGCGATATCCTGGGGGGGGAGGCATTATTTCTCTCGGCTTTTCGCTGCGTCACCCGCTGGAATCGTTGGAGGAATTGCTCCTCGATTAGGAACAAGGTCGAGGTTAAGGGAAAGAACAAGCCTAATCCTCGGGCTTGGAACGACGTCAAGACCCTTTTGGAAATCGATTCGTTGGGTGGTGGGGGATGTCTATGACACTGAACTGGTGGTAGTTTTACGGCGCATTTTGGCTGCCTCTGGGGTGACGACTCTGCAGGTACATGAATTCGATAATTACAATGGGGATATAATTGCATCCGGTGGCAGGGGAACTTTCAATTGAGCCTAGTTCACCGCAGAATTACAGTCCAGGGGTGGGTTCATGTCTCACCCTGCTCGTCAGGCTATTCGAATTAAAACCGATGGAATTGATTAATTAACCCTGATCAAGGGATAATAGCTCATCATTCCAGGGATGACCTTTTTGAATATTCAATCGGGACGGAATTTATTATGTGATTTCGATCATCTCCGTCTCGGTTTGAACCTTGGGGTAAGGAATTTGATTAAGCTCGTGGGAAAAGACGGAATTCTTGCTGAATTCGGAAATGCTCGAAATATTTTGAGGAATTTTCATAGCTCTCCATCGAGAACCGCGAGATTGGGAGTTCTACTGGAACTTCCGGAATTTTTTAGAGAGCATTCCTGTCTTCCGGGAAAATCTCGTGGGAATTGAATTTTTTTTTGAGTAAATTTGAAAATGAAAATTAATTGAAAAAAAAAATTAATTGATTTTTGAATTGGATTCAATGTAATTTCGCGAAAAATTTTGCTTTCCTGCAATTCAATTGCAATTACATATTTTATATCGCTTTTTCCAAATTTCGATTGTTTAGCAAAAAATCTATAATCACACCCGAAATTTCTCAAAACTTATGGTCTCTACATTTTCTTCCCCGTCCTGTAATCACGTATGGCTGTCTTTGACGGGCTTTTTCTACTTCTCCCTGAAATAAAAAAAAAAAATTGCCGGCATCTGCAGATGGCGCAGTTGTTTGACAACTCCAGGAGACATAACCTGGTGCTCACCTGACAGATGAGTTGTTGAACAGAGTAGAACAAGTGCAATAATGAAGAATCATAATCAACAGTAGATCAGCGATCGGTTTTAGTCTCAATGAAAAATGTCATCCACACATTTATCCAGTGGTAGATTGAACATAGGTCTTCTGCAGGAGCAGACGAGAAAACAGCTGGTGAATCTGATCGAGAGGTGTGATGGGCCGAAGGTAATACTCACGAATTATTTTTTTTATCGTTCACTATCTGACGGTGGATTCTTAAAATGTAAGGCTATCGTTTGGGACCGATCCCTGGATGGTCCAGTGGGGCTCATCGCCAGGTACAGTCTCCTGGAGGAATACGGGGTTGTGAAAATGTATCAGCTGGTGGGTGGACAACTCCCTCCCACAAATGTTTCCAACATAATATTCATCGTTCGTCCACATTTGGATATGATTGATTTAATTGCCGAGAATGTGCATGGGTACGTGCGAAAAATTCAAGATTTCTATTATGATACAATTATCTATAATAATTGCACCCTATCGAAATTTAAATTAAATTCGATATTTACTGTAATTATCAAATTATTTCAATCCTTTTGAGTTGACCAGAATTTTTGATAAATCAAAACATAAATTAAAAAGAAAAATTATCTCAAAATTCTCCCACAAATTCTTTGAGACCCGAGACCAGGTCAGGTTTGAAAATATTGTGACGTTTCTCCAGGGAGCAGAACAGATCCCCGAAGGAATTTCACATATTCTTCGTTCCTCGAAAAAGTCTCCTTTGCCAGAAGAAGTTGCAAAACCGGGGTGTCTTCGGTAGCTTCACCTTGATCGAGGAATTCCCCTGCGATCTCTTCCCCTTCGACAGCGATCTGATGTCGATGGAGCTGAGTCAGACGTACAAAGAATTCTTCCTGGAGAATGACCCCACATGCTTGTACCAAGTGGCACAGGCGATTAGGCGTCTCCAAAGGCTCTATGGAAAGATCCCAAGGGTGACAGGTCGTGGTCCAGCAGCGAACAAAGTCTGGGAGCTGTTGAAACGTCTGGATCGAGAGGAAGAGGACGTAAAATTGGAGCGTGGACCCCTGAGCACTCCCCCAATCGAGCACTTGCTCCTCGTAGATCGAAGTATTGATCTTCTCTCGCCCCTGGTGACTCAGCTGACGTATGAGGGTCTCATCGACGAGATCTTTGGCATCCAGAACACAACGGTCCAGCTACCAGCAGGAAAATTCAAGGACAATGACGACTCGCCCACTGTCATGTCAGTCGATAAAAAGGAGAAAATAGTCCTCAACTCCGGGGAGGAATTATTCGCTGAGATAAGAGACAAGAATTTCAACGGAGTTGGTCCTGTGCTCAGTCAGAAGGCCAAGATCATCTCGTCGCAGTTCGACGAGAGACACGGGGACAAGAGTGTCCAGGAGATTAAGCAATTCGTGGCGAGACTTCCTCACATGCTGGCGACCAAGCAATCCCTCGCCAGACACACGACCATCGCAGAGATGGTGAAGGAAGTTACCGATTCTAATGACTTCCTCGAGTGTCTCCAGGTCGAGCAGGAGCTCCTCAACTGCATTGACACTGACAAACCCAATGCCTTTATTGAGGACTGCATAGCACAGCAGAAACCTCTGCTGAAGGTTCTCAGGCTTCTCTGCATTCAGTCCCTCACGAATTCTGGACTTAAGCAGAAGCTCCTGGATTATTATAAAAGGGAGATCGTTCAGACTTACGGTTATCAGCATCTTCCGACATTGTTGAACCTGGAAAAGGCGGGATTGCTGAGGGCTCAGCAGTCCAACAGGCAGTATGCTGTCCTCAGGAAGGCTCTCAGGCTTACTGTCGAGGATGAGAGCGAAATAGCACCCAAGGACATCAGCTATGTCCACTCGGTTTATGCACCACTGAGTGTTAGGCTGGCAGAGCAGCTCGTACAGCCTGGCGGGTGGCAGGGGCTCAATGATGTCCTGGGGCTTTTGCCTGGACCTGCTGTCAGCACTGACTCCCGGGGGACGATTTCCGGCATGAGACGTGAGGGATACTAATTAATTGATTATTATTAGGGATGAAAAATCGATGGAGCAATTTGAAATTTTCAATCATTTTTTTTTTTTTTGATCGATTAAGGTATTAATTATTATCATTTTTCGATTCATGAACTTCTGATAAATGTATAATACTCCTTTATTGTGTGATTTAATTCGGGTTTATATTAGGCGGATCTTTCACGAGTGAGGATTCTACCGCAGAGCCTCCAAGACTTGTTCTCGTTTTCTTCATTGGTGGCTGCACCTATGCCGAAGTCTCTGCTCTGAGATTTCTCTCCCAGCAGGAAGATCGTGAGTAGAAATTTGTGTATAATGAAAGAGTTTTGTATGTCTTCTAAAAAAATGTTTCTCTTTTATCATTTAGTCAACGTCGAGTTCGTCGTTGGTACCACGAAGTTAATAAATGGAAATACGTTCCTCACTTCGTTGATGGACGATTTGGAGACTTCTCGAAAATGAAAGGAACACATTTTGTAAATTACCAAAGACAAGGGTATAGATTAAATATACAACAGTTTATATTAATGGCACAGTCTTCAAACGATTTTATTTCTCCATACTGATAAGAAATACATGGGCACTGGGCCTCTGATTATAAAAATAATTGACTGATTACGTTTGTTGCCCGACAAACGATAGGAAAACCAGTTGTTTTTTAACTGGTAGTAAGTGCTTCTGGGGGTATGTGACCGGAATCCCCGAAGCATCGAAGCACGACTCGACCACTGGGGTGAATGCTGATCCACGTGATGCTGGCGTGTTTCAGGGAGAATCTCAACCAGGCCTCAGCAGGAAATTGCAGAGCCCTAGGAGAATAGAATTTCATTTTATTGTTGACAATTTTTTTTTTTCACTTCAACTTGCGATTTTTTCACCTGCATACGAAGTAGCGAATAACATTTGCATGGCACACGAGTAAAGTGTGGGAATCATGCGTTTGTTTTGGAGTTGCTCGATGAAAGTACTTCCGGAATGCTGCCTCTATCCTGGGTTCATCTTGGAAGAACTGAACTCAAATAGAAATCTGTACTGAAGTAATGTGAAGTAACAAATCGATTGAGGCGAGAGCTTATTGATAAGAAAGAAAAGAAAATTCAAGTTTAATTATTTTTGAAAGTTGCTCGTTGTAGATTCCAATTGAAAATAGACACATTGAGAACGCAATTATCTGTGGGAGAGTTAAGTCTCTGAAGGATGATAATACGAGACTCACGTGCCACTCGGATTTCCAGCTGCCAATTGGTGGCTCTGGGGGAATTGGCGCACCCTCGACGAGGAAGCTATCGTCCTCGACAGGAATACCTGGCAGTGATTTCTCAATTATTTTCGAAGTCTCTTGAGCCCTCGTCATCGTCGATCGAACAACGAGGGAAAATGGAATGGCTAGCTCAGCTAAACGCTTTCCAGTAAAATCCGCCTGACGTTTGCCTGCAATTCCAGGGAATTAATCTTAAAAAAATTCATTTTTTCAAATAGAAAATCACGGGAAACGAAACAAGAGGAGAATGATAACAAGTTTATTCAATTATTGTGTGAGTTTACGAAAAATATTTCCAAATGGTAAGGATATACCAAAATTATTTTAAAAAATAGTTGATTGCCATTTTAAAACCTCAATCATTTGAAATAAACATTTCTTCCAGTGAGTACAGACCTAGGTCCGTTAGATACCGTTCAGCATCATTTTCTCCCTTCAAATTATACTGTCCATGACGAATAAGTATCAGGTGCCTGACGGCTTTGGCCTTGTGGGCCTCGAGCCGCTCATTATATTTATTCTCATCAATCTCTTTACCCCCTTTGATTGGTTTTACCAAACTCTTGGGGTCTCTCCTGAAATAACTCAAGAGTTTGGAAGATCAAAATCATGGAAAACTTTTCGAACGTTATCACGATGGAGATAATGCAATTATCAACTCCCAATGTAAACAAACTCTAACCTGTCCCAGTTGCTCTCCCATTTGACCGAGGGGGTGAAATCGGTTGTCCAGGAGTTGGTGACGTGAGCAGATTTCACTTTGTTACCGTACACGTAATAGAACAATCCTGCACCACTTGCTGCGCCCAATGCTATTATTGTGCATTTCTGGAAACGAGAGAGTGTCGGCATTTTCCAAGAAACTACTCGTGATTTTTCAGCATCACGTGACCATGTGTATTTCTTCGAGTGTGGGGGGAGTTCAATGTGCTGATTAACCAATTCAAGGTCAGGAGAAATCAGACCATCACAGTTCAATACAAAGAGGATGGACTAAAGTAGAGGCTCAGTTCTGGGGGTTTGAGTGATCCCACCGGTATCGTAGTAGCTCACCCCAAGGCAAAGAGGACGCTACATGCTCCCCTGATATTTTTTCAAAAATTTCCAATTTTCCAATTTCACTGAATACCTCCTCGATTTTCATGCTCCCCTGATACATTTTTGAAAATTTCGAATTTTTCAATTCCAGTGAATACCTCCTCGATTTTCATGCTCCCCTGATATTTTTT